CTTAATAGTACCTGTATCAAAAACGTAACAAAACAGCAAAAATGAGAACAAGTATCACAATTGTACAGACATTCTCATTACAGCTAAGAAAAAAGAGACAAAAATTGAATTAACCCGCAGACACACTACAAGTAAATAAATTCGGTAAGCTATGGTAAAATTGCCAAACTTATGACAAAATAGACTATTCTTATTTACAGTGATAACTCTATTGCAGTATTACCGGTACGGTATTAGGTAGGATATGTTTTTAAGTCTGACATTCTATGGTACCGGTACTGCAACCATGAAAAAACTTTCAATACTGTCCCCATGAAAATTTTTCAATTCCAACTTTCGCTAAGGCAGTATGGTAACGTCCCCGCAGCAAAGAAAACCAACATCATTGCAATACTGTACGGTACAGTACAGTACCGGTACCGGTACCGTAGTAAGACAGCGTAAGGAAAAATCGTAGCAAAGTACCGTAAGGACTTCGTTACGAACCATCGACGTTCGATGGCACGTGATCAAAAAGAAGAGGAGTGTCGGCTATGCGTCCGCAGAACGTTCGGTGACGTCATAGCAAACAAAAACAAATCTCACAGAGCTAACAGAAATATTTGAAATAAATAAAAGGAATAGCCTTCTGGAGAAAAATTTCATCTTTAACCAGTAAAAATTTCGAAGCAATCGGTCCAGTAATGAAAGAGAAAAGCGGTTTTTCAGAGTATCCACTAGATGTCCAAAAAGTGTCAAAGAACAACAACAACAAGAGAGCTACGCCCAAATATATGGACACGTCTGTTCGCAGTACAGTACGAATTAGCGTACCGTCGATCAGCGTAAGGAAAAAATCGTAGCAAAGTACCGTAAGGACTTCGTTACGGACCATCGACGTTCGATGGCACGTGATCAAAAAGAAGAGGAGTGTCGGCTATGCGTCCGCAGAACGTTCGGTGACGTCATAGCAAACAAAAACAAATCTCACAGGGCTAACAGAAATATTTGAAATAAATAAAAGTAATAGCCTTCTGGAGAAAAATTTCATCTTTGACCAGTAAAAATTTCGAAGCAATCGGTCCAGTAATGAAACAGAAAAGCGGTTTTTTAGATTTTCCACTAGATGTCCAAAAAGTGTCAAAGAACAACAACAACAACAAGACCAACATAATATTGAAACGATCGTTATGTCCACTACGTGTCCAACAAGACCAACATAATATTGAAACGATCGTTATGTCCATTTCGTGTCCAATAAGACCTAGTCGACAGCGCGAAATTTTTTTTTAAACTAGCCGATAGCAAGAAATCTCTCCTACACGTTTTAAATGATTGGTCATTTCTGTATAATCTATGTTTTGCAGTATTTTGTATAAACACGTGTTATTTATAAGTAAATGGATATCGATATTTTCATATTTTGTATATATATATATATTTGAAAATCTTTACTTTGTTTCGTAATTTTGTTTTTAGTGAATGAAAATAAAAAGCATCCCCCAAACGTGTTATTTTTCGAAAGAAAATTGAAATAAAACCCTGTCTTATTTTCGGGGAAACACGGTACTTAAAAAGTGAATAATAGTTTAAAAAAGGCTTGCCGACCCAACATTCCGGCCTACCGTGCCTAATGGTGAATCTGTGAATGTGACTGTGAACGCTGTAATGAAAGATTTGATTACATTATTTACATATAAAATGTGATTTAGTCTGTACCAGAATATATTTAGGAAACGAAATTCGGAGCACCATACTTAGCAACATAATTGCTAGAATAGGTTTTTCCCATTGTACCAGAATTTATGTCACCTAAATGTTGTAAATTACGACAATGAGACAAACAAACACGCCGTCGTCTATAAAAAGAAAATGAGTAATTTTATCCTTTGTTCCAGAAAATTCGATACACATGTTATTGACAATTGCAACATCATGAACAAACAAACCGACGCGATGCCCTAAATACGAAACATTGAGAATTTGCTAGAAACTTACAGTGCAAAAGCGTGCTCGATGTTTGTCAGAAGGAGAAAAAGTATTTATGGTAGTGATGGGAATGGTTAACTGATTTTAGATAGTTGACGGTTACGATTTATATTGGCTGTTCACTGCCTTATCAGGTAATAATCACTTTATACTGCACAATTTTTTCAAAAATAATTAGTTCACCGCAAATTTATCTCCCGTGGCGCTTAATTTAGAAGAATACCATCGACCTAATTGGTAGACACCAAAAAATGATAGACATAACTGAAGTATTAATAATGCTGATTATGAAAATTTGACAATGACAATTTCAGAATCAGTTTCTGGGGGAATATATTGTTCTAGAATCTAGATTATATTGCAAGAGCTTCTAATGGCTAATCAATGTCATTCAACAAGTGTACAATCTGTCGTAAGAATATCAGCATATCGACATTTTCAGAAAGTATTGACCAACGCTTCGAATTTACAATATTTCGTGCCGTAATGAATACACCCTCTGATGGTACATTAGTAGCAGGCATTTTTGTGCCATATTTGAATCTGGATCTATCAACTTTTCACTGCTCCTGTCTTGCCCCATTGAGTGGGTCAAACTGCAAAAACTGCTTTGAAACCATTGTGACATAACAAGCCTAAACGTTAACTTTCTGCGTCGAACGTCACGCTGCGGTTAACCGGTTGTGCCGTAATGAATACACCCTCTGATGGTACATTAGTAGCAGGCATTTTTGCGCCATATTTGAATCTGGATCTATCAACTTTTCACTGCTCCTGTCTTGCCCCATTGAGTGAGTCAAATTGCAAAAATTGCTTTGAAACCATTGTGACATAACAAGCCTAAACGTTAACTTTCTGCGTCGAACGTCACGCTGCGGTTAACCGGTTAATTTTACCTGGTTAAAGGTTGAAAGATTTTCACTGAAATTCCCAGCCCTAATATATGAAAGAATTTTAGAAACATCTAATGTATTTCGTCTCAATTTAAATTATTCTTTGTGCCCTTGTACTTTTTCAAACTTTATTCCAAGTTATGCTCGCCTTCCAGGTATCTCTGCATTTTGTTCGTCTGTTTACTTTTTGTGCTGATTTAATTTATGTCAGAATACCGATTGATGCAGTAATTCCAGAGTGTTATTTTTGGTGTAAGCGCAAATTTTTGTGATTCAGAATTTAGTTTTTGAACGTTTCAAAGACTTCTGGAATATTCATTTTCTCCTCGCATTATACGCACTCACCAGCAAATGATAGATAGTTGGCCTCGCATAATCCCATTTAAAAAATCATGAGCAATTTTGCCGTAACTCGTTCCTATTATATATTGTTGAATAGTAGCACAAGATAAGTTTTAGAGACATCGCCATGTTTATATTCCATAATCTTGCGTGATTTCACTCATTTTTCGATTCATTTAAACTCAAACTGGAGTCGATAAAGATGCTAATAAAGTCGAACAGATCCCAGATAAACTCAGAACATATTTCGTGATATATATATATTAAAAATATATTTTATTGGTATTAACGTGTATATAGATCGACAAATTCAAACTAATTTATGTATTAGTATTAGGCCAAAGAAAAATAGGTAATGTCAATAACAGTATATAAATAACAATTCTGAAAATTGGTGTCAAAATGGTAGTCACCAGATTTAGTATCTTATTAATTATAGATAATTTCATCTTCTTTCCCTTCTTCGCTGCATATGAGATCAGCTTTACCGTCATTATCCAAGTCTTTCACATTCAAAACTTGGGAATTTGACTGACAGAAACCATCATGCACCTGCCCTCTGGTCGACTCTCCAGCGACATTGAATTTGCCATTTTTAGAAAGTACAACGGTGTATTTTCTGTAATTCCGATGTCAAATTTTAAACGCCGAGTATATCAAACAAGGAAAACAAGCAAATTTGGAGAAAGATCAAATATATCAGGGCAAGTCAAGCTAAAGCACATATACGCGACATAAACCTTTCGCGATCGACTGTGCACAAAATTACCAAAATAAATAACTGTATATTTGTGACGGTAGTTACAGATGGATTTCCTGAGACAGAGTGGGAGCGGACGGTGGCAAGAGATAATTTCCATTGCGGGTAACAACGAGAATACAAGGTATATAAAAAGTTCCCTCAGGTGAGATTGAGGTTTAATGACATGGTATGCATTGTAGATACAGTTACAGCATTCGACCCTTCAGTACCGGTATGGCCCACCGTGGTCAGCCAGTATTGATAATTGGGAAGTGAGAATGAGTATAACGAAAAAAGGAAAATGCTTCATTCACTATCAATAGAATCACGATATGTACTTCTGGTATTTCAGGTCAAAATTCAAATCACTACTGATTAGTTACAATTTCTCCAAAAGGGAAAATAAAGTTTTAAACTAGATTTTCAACAGCTATTAGCAATGATATGACCGGAATTAGTATTGCATTACGAATGAAAGTATGTTCACTCTAATTAATTGTAAGTTTTAGTAGCCTCATTAGCTTACTGAAAGACGATTTTCCTCATTAATAACTATAGCTTCTGAATTGTCAATAAAATAAGAATAACAAATCCTAAGAAAGAACAAGTGGATATAATACATAAACAAATCAATCAAAATGTATTCATACTGACCTGGCGATAGGATAGGATTTACATATTTATCACGGGGAGAGGAAAGCCGATTAGACAGCTTAATCATGTGGCCATGTCGAGTATGGGATTAGTTAACCAGTTATCTGTTTTAGAAGCATAGACTTGATGGGTGACGGAGCCGAAACCGACCAGCTGATACGCCACCTTACGGCGGAGAGGAGTCAAGCAATCCTCTTGCTCATAATTATCCCCACGGACTCATACCTGCGAACCAACTTAGGGTAATCAGAGGTCGAGTGGTGAAAGTATTCCTAACGCTTTTCAGAATGCAAACATTGCCGAGCCGATCAGTTGGAAACTTGACAATAATAATTTGGGGTATTAATTTATATTCCCTGTGTCATAACCAGCAACTCAAAGCTGATAATCAAACATCTTACCCTGTATGTTTTTCAAAACACATCAAATCATTTGCTTTATCATTGTTGAAATCTTCAGCATATACCAGTCCAATTGTCTCTGTCCAGTTGCAAAATCCTGCATCACTCTCCCACTCTGGGAGTTGAATTCCATCGTCACCAACCGTATAAGCTATTTTGCTACGATCAAAAATATTTATAATTGGATTCTACTTAGTGACTAAATAACAGTCTTTAAATGACGAGTTTCACCCCTGTCACCTAGAACAAGGACAATACAAGCAGCCACTGATATCTGATACGTTAAAAGCTATTTTATTTGGCATAGCCTCACAAATTTAATACACATCATTGCTGACCTCTAAGTCTATTTGATGATCGTTGTTTTCCTTTTTCTTCTACAATGTGTACTTTAATGATATTTTGAAATAAAATCATTATCTATCTCTCTACGTTCTTAATGAGGTGAAGAAATCAAAAAGTACAGACGGATTAAGAATCTTAAACTACCTTATGTACGTCGTCCGAGAAGTTTGTAAACCTATCAGAAACATCGAAATATCCAAAACTCACATCTTCCCTTTTGAGCTAAGACACAGCATATCATTGACACCGTCTCCATTAAAATCTTTCTGATATGATCTGCTACCAGTGGGACAGAATTCTGGTTTACTATTTTGAGGCTTTCCTCCAAACATTCTCTTTTCAGTCGACTTTGGTTTTGTTTGTACGGGCTGGCTCGGACCTTTAAAAAATCTAGCCAGCTTGCCCTGGGCAAATATTCCTATCAAAAAAAAATTTTTTAAGAAAAAAATTTTGAACACGAGTCAAGCAGTAGTTATCAAGTATAAGAGGGCATATGTGGATTTCATAAGGTTTTTATGCAAACACTAGAACAAAAATTAATGGGCAGTAGAACCTATAAACAGCCTATTGAATGATATGACATAAGTTTTATATCTAAATGGAACACATTCTGAATTGTAGAATTCAATTCTAAAAACTAAGAAATTAATGACTTCTTCTATTCAGATGTCATTTTTTAAATTATAGAACATCTGTACTAAAGTGTGAATTTCGTCTACGCATTCTATCGTTTATTCATTCTATCGTTTATTCATCTTACCGTACCATATATCATAGTTCTTGGAAATTTGACAGTGAAAATAAGAGCACAAGAGAACGCTGAACTCCCTTTTTTATAAACGGAACAAAATTAAATATAATCAAATTTATCATAACAAAAACCTTTTTCGTTGGGCCTTTCTTTTTCATTTCCAACGTCACAAGAAATGATTTTACAGTTTTTGAAATCTACATCAGGTCCTTTACATTGATCACGATCTGCAAGGCACAGTCTTGTCCTGTGAAAAAGGTAAAAATAAATACACAAGTTTAGAAGATAAGAAACATCAAGCATTCTTTCTAGAGATGTGTTTTTTTTTAAGCTGCGAAGGTTATGCAGCCTTCTGTCTTTAAAAAGCTTGTAGGACACCATAATTGAAGGTTGGCAACACGATACCATTGATAAGCTGATGACATCAGTTTGCAGGTTCAAATCCTAAGGATAATAATTACGAAGAAGAGGATTGCTGGACTCCCATACACAGTGAACATGAGCCATATCATTGACTTTCCTATCCCCACGGCCACCACATAAATACCGAAATCCTATTTTTGAATTAGATGGATATACTAGGACCGAAATGTAGAATAACATCTTACAGCAAATGAATTCACAAAGTGCATTTACCGAGCACGTAGACAATCTTTGCAACTTATACAAATTTAATATTATACCTTCTATGCTTTCCAGCTCCACATGTAACATTACAATGTCCCCATGACTGCCAAGTACTCCATAATATAATCGGCTCTTCACAACGCTAAAAGTAATAGGAAATGATGCATGGAATAATATCATTTGTATCAATAATATACACACATCTATTAAACTGGATTCCCAATCCCGTACATGATCTTTATGGGCAATAAAATGATAACCAATCGTTTGTAAATGTGAAATATGATTACGGTAGGTCACTTTGATGACTTTTCTTTTGTACTATTGAAAATTCAATGCAGGTTTCTGAGAATGAGCTTCATGTTGTAATAACGTTGTTCCTATGTTTCACAATAGCGCAATAATTTCTATTGAATAGGCTATTCTCTTTTATGTTCAAGTTACATTTTAACGTTTTTTAATGTTAAAGTTTGGTAACATAACAATTCATAGTCGTGGCGAAGTTTAGAGTTGAGACCAAGAATAGGCGTTCTGAGGTCTGCCCCGCAGGCAATGCAAATCAATTCATTCTTGATATATTGTCTTTCATCCATTAGGCCCCCGTTTGTGCTGCATTCTACAATTACAAGTAACATGAACATCAAAAACAGCATTATGTAGTTAATGATACAAAGGAAAAGTTAAGACGACCAAATGGTGCAATTACTTGAAAATGATACTGACTTGGGTGCTGCACTTTTTCTTTTCTGTGATATGCCCCTTAGTTTGATTAGTCTTCGTCAAGCAATCATATGCCATGACCTGATTAGCAGTTTCACACAGACGAAACCTCTTCTGCCATCCACCACCACAAGAAACAGTGCATGGAGTCCATTGATACCATCGAGCCCATCTACTGCCAGTGAAACCTGGATCTGAAATAACAAAAATTTTTTTTTTTGCAAAAATATTGATTCAAATTTAATATTCTAGTTTTTAGTTAAGATTAGATAGGCATAATAATTTGGTATTGAAGTATTCTATCTTATAAACTATCCAAATATAGAAAAGAACTTTTTGGTAGAAGTACAATATTAAACATGAAATTAATATGGAACGTCTGTTCAATGATCTGGTAGTTTAAATTTTCTATTAGCAACATTAGCAAAAATATATCAAAGTTTTAACAGATACATAAATAAAGTGTGGTAACTTGTTCAAAGTCTCATGCAAATTGGACACTTGTGCCAACCACGATTTTGCATATTGCCGAAACAATTTAAGTCAATGACAATGACCAGCAATGTCATCAATATAAACAAAGAGGCTAAATGTTCCCATGCAGTTCAGGATGACCAATCAGATAGTTCATTGTAGTCATGTTTTCGAATAATAATATGCCAACAAACTGATAGTCGACGTTCTTGATCTTGGCTCGGGGGTTGGTGCATTGTGCTAAGTGTTAGGAATAAGCTTGCCATTACATCTCTGATTACCCTGTGAAGATCCTAAGCTTGTAGGGGTCAATCTTGTACAAGGGTTTTTGTACCTTCTCATCAGCATAGGGTAATTCACATAATCACTGAAACAATGTACTAGTTAACTATTCCCATTCTCGACATGGTAACTGGTAACCGGATACAATTAAGTCGTCTTGTCGGATATCCCCTCCCTCTCAATAAAGGCTGATACTCACCAACAGCAACTGACCTTCCTGCTGCATCACAAGATTCGTCATTACATGTCCTTGTATCATAAATAGCATCCCATTCACATCCAGGATCACCTAGATTGCCTGCTAAGCAGCTTCGCAGTCTGGAAACAAGATAAACAAAACTAGAGCAGGCAACTCTGGTGACAAATTGTAATGCTTGTGCTTGAATTATTATTATCTTTTGGTAAAGGGTGTGAAATGTTATCACTTATATTTGATGTCATTTTGTATTGTATGCTCAAACCTCAATTGACGTATTGACAACTGTGTTGCTTTTTATACCATGGCATAGTTTTCAAAATAACTTACCAATCTTATTTTACATTTTCTTTTACCAATTGTAATTGGGAAAAAATATGAAATGGTTTAATTTTTGAATCAGTGGACTTTGTAAAAATTTCAAATCAAAAATTACATCTCCTGAATAGGAATTATATTTGAATACATAATGCAAATTACAATGCAAATTTATAGAGTGAAAAGCGTCAAGCCATAAGAAAATGTAATGTAAGTTAGCAAATATATAGTTCTGTTTTGGGAAAGAAGACAGTAAAATCTCAACAGAAATTTAAAGCAATATTGGTAGGCAAACTTGTCTTAGAGAGTCTCATCTGCCTCAGAAACTTCATACTCAATCTTATATAAACAAAGTACTACCTTTTGAATACAGTTTAATACATATCAGATTCTCAACTGCAGTGAACAATCTGCTAAGAATTTTAACAATATCTCAACTAATCTTTCATATAGTTTCATACTCATTTTTTAACTCTAGTTATGAATACAGTAGCAACACAAACCTCCACTGACTTCCCTTACATTCTGCACTACATTCTCCCCATGATTCCCACTCTGACCACATAGTTTTATCTGGATCACAAGGCTAAAATTAAATAATTTTAATCCTCTATCAATAGTATTTGCATTATAAATTGAGTCTTAAACATCAGTCTATAATACTATTCAATTACAGAGTAGTGCATAGATATATGAACATATAGGCATTGATCATGTAAAAATATTGTATACCGTTCATTTAGCACTCATACATCAGAAACAGATCAGGGAAAATTAGGAAAAATGGAAATAATAACAACACCTATGTAATTCTACTTCATGCCAAATATTCACTGCATGTTGTTTACAATAGAATGACTATCAGGATTACAAATTTGCCTAAATGCTTCTACCCAGTGATGGCTCTTTGTTCAAACAGCCTGGAATTGATTCATTAACTCAAATTCATTAACAAAATATAGAAGAAGCAATTCAGACCATATCATGGAAATCACTGAGAAACTGCGCGGCGGTGTGGCTCAACGGGCTAAGCGTTAGAAATACGCTCGCCACCGCACCTCTAATTACTCTGCATGGGTTCGCAGGTTCGAATCCCATGCACGGATGGTTATGTGCGAGAGGATTGCTGGACTCCTCGCCGTCGTTGGGTGGTTCACGTAACCGCTGGTCGGTTACGGCTTCCTCCACCACCAAGTCCATGCTTCCGAAAACAAACAATATAACTAATCCCATACCCGACTTGGAATGGTAACCGGACGAGAGGCCGTGGTTCGCCATATGGATAAGCCGTCTTATCGACTTTCCTCTCCACCGGGATAAATATGTAAATCCTATCCTATCCTAACAGATTAACCTGAACCTACATCTGAATCTGAAGAAGCAATTCAGATCATATTATGGAAATCACTAGATTAACCTTAACCTACATCATTATGACAGGTCTCCATTCTTGACTCTTCATCTAAAAGTTCCATTGATTCCCCACAGTCTGTTTCCAAAGTGAGTGGCACAGAAGATTGACATTTCCTGGTCCTGACTTTTCTACCACCTCCACATGTCACTGAACAATCTGACCATGGGCCCCATGGCTCCCACAGTGATACTGTATTACATGTTTATGATTAGACAAAATTACAGTTGATTGTTTTGAGAAGAATTCAATCAGTCTAGATCAGAGCTGACCAGCTCAACAATAGGAACCATGTGCAAAGTGTTGGGAATATGCCTCTCATAGTACCTTCGATTGGCCTGCGGAAGTTCGAATTCTGTGATGGATAAATATGTACAAGAATTGCTGACCTCCTCATACATATGATTAAGCCGTCCAATTGCCTTTTCGCTTCCCGATGATAAATATAAAATTTCTATCCTATCAAAACGACACAAAAGTAACGCAATATAAAGGTTTCGGAAAAGCGCATAACGCTGAGACCATGTTTGTCGTCACACTACCGACTACCCTATGTTGGCTCCTGGAGAGAATGATTATGTGACAGAAATTGTGGGACGCATCACCACCATAGGGTAGCCCATCTGCTCACTTGACAAAAGATTAGTTTCCTTTGCAATTCAAGTCCATACATCTTTGTCAATTAAATAGTTGGGGAAATTCCATTAGTTAAATACTCAACTTAAATCAGTACTAGACAAGATATATTAAACAGTAAAATAGATCATATGATAAAAAACAACTCACAAACAGGATCAGGACAGGCAGTCATATTGCAGGACTGAATTTCTATGTATTCACCAACACAATAATTGGCTTCTTTCCCACTTTCTGTCAGACATTCACGAGCTCTGAAAATATAATACTCAGTCCAACCACATTTTTCAATAATATTTTTTCTATAGTTCATTTACTTCGGTACAGCGTTTCTCAAACTTTTTTTGCCCCGGAACACTCACGCTTTTTATCTGGTCTCGCAGAACACCAAGGAATTAGGAGGTAAAATTTGTATTAAAAAATTCACTATATGCATCAACTTGCGCAACCAGCTTATCACAACATCTTTCGAGGCTTCCAAATTTAAGCCAACATTCCATTGAATAGGGTTGGTGTCCCAAAAAATAGCCCATGATAAAAGTAAAAAGTTTGCTGTAAACTTGACAATTACAAAATAGGGCCGACGGTTAACAATATAAACAGTTGACGATAATGCCATGGTTGCAGCAAAGTTGTGAAACTAAAACACACAACATTTAAAAATAGGATTAATTCATCAAAGTAGACGAAAATATTATTACTTATATTTACCTTTTGAAAGATCCTACACCACAAGTTCTTGTACATTGACCCCAGTCACCCCATTCGCTCCAATCCCCGACTTCGGGAAGAGTTTCTGGGCAGGGTTCAGCAGCACAGATTTCTATCTAGAAAATTGAACACAAAACCCTATGCGGATCAGAGCTCCCAATAATGTTATATTAGCCCCCCTATATATTGAATTTTATTACGGTAATCTTGCAATAAGGCCTCACTGAAGGTGTCAGCCCTTTAAAATCGATGCACATTCTAGCAAAACACAATTTATTTTAATTCCCACCATAATTGACTATTTGGATGTCTAAGCACTATGTCAATATGCTGTACAAGTCTTACTTCCAAATGTGAAGTTCCAACTTGTGGACATCTTAGATTCTCAACCGTGTCTTCAAACAAGTCAAAACAAGATCGATATCTACGCTTCATACCATTACCACACGTCCTCAAACATTCACCCCATTCTTGCCACCCCGCCCAGAATGAAGTTTCTAAAATAAATAAAACATTTATAAGCATATAAATCTGGTAATCAATTAATGCAGATCAAAGACGTTATAAAAACAGTCAATGCTTCTCCACCATACATATGCAGCCTGTGATATGTAGCTCGGTGAAATTGAAGGCTTAAAATTGCAGTCAAGTTCAAGGTATGACATTTTTTGTTAGGTGTGGATAGGATTTACATATTTATCCCGGAGAAGAGAAGACGACTTATGGTCATATGAACCACGACATATCAATGGGTTACCAGTTCATGTCAGGTATGGGATTGTTTATTCAGTTATTTGTTTCAGATGCATGAACTTGATGATGGAGGAAGGCGTAACCAACCAACAGTTACGTGAACTACCCTGAAGCAATGTCTAGCTATTCCCACACACATAATTATCATCCTTGGCATTTGAACTTGCATGTGTAATTAGAGGTGTGATGGCGAGTGTATTCCTATTGCCTAGCACGCTGCACCACACCGTTGTGTGTGTTATATTTTTGTTTTCTATTTTCTCATGATTATTCCTATACTATTTCTTGCATGATAAAAAGTAATATCCGATTCTCTATGAAAAAAATTCTAAATTTTAATGTTTGCATCACGGCTGGGAGATAGTTTCAAATTGCAATGTAACAACTCATCTTAATGATTTTATCCTGTATTAATTGATGCATAATACAAATACAAACCAGGATCTTCGCATTCTTCTTCTTCACATTCTTCCACTTCAGATGTTGTATTTTTTCCACAACAAGACACTCTGAAATAAAATGAATAGGACAGCAATAAACTCAAAACCCTGATTATACCAAGAAATATACATGATAGATATATTCCAGAATATGGGCCACAAAAAATGGAAAAAAATGAAAGAACACATGCTAGCCATCATAATAATCATTGTCTTAATAATCATCAAACTTTTAGTATTTGAGATCAATCATTCATTTTGGCATGGCCTAGTGGACTTAAGTAGTAGACTTAACTGTATTGGCATCGCAGATTACACTTCTCAGGTTCAAATCCCATGCCCCCTGACTCACTCCGGTAGGCAAGGGTCCAAATATTAGCAGCTCCTTACATATCGTTAATTATCAATGGGTTCTTGTATATAATGAAAATAAAGGTTTATAACATGACTCACAACCTGCTAACCAATAGTAGGATATGGTTCAAAACGTTCAAGCTACCTTTTTCTGGTCCCAAATCCACAGGTATGATCACACTGAGACCATGGTCCCCAAACACCTTGTTCACAGGGTTCAGATTCACATTTTTCTTCCAAATAATAATCTGTACCACAGTAGCGTCGTGGAATAATTGCATTTTCACCATCCAAACAATCTCGTACTTGATATGCAACTCCAGAACCGCAAGTCATTGAACATTGGCCTAACTCTGACCACTCTCCCCAATTAGCTCCAGCTACTTCTTCTGTGTTAATGAGATGTTTAATTTAAATAGCATTGTATGCATTCCAAACTCCTAGTGGGATACTTTGTAAAATATTGAAATATGTATCATTTGGATAATGATAAAGTTCTTATTTTTAATAGGGTAAACTCTACCTTCGCTGGAGAGAAAACACTCGTACAGAGAATTGATTTCCACAATATCTTCTTTCGACAAGCCTTCCCTTTGTATTTTTACAGGTTCAGAAGTGTTCAGATCAATCATAGATGGTTTAGAAAGGTCAATACTGAATGAAAAACCACTTCCTTGCATGACAGAATCCACATCGTATGGTGATCCAAAATCAAAAATAGTTTCAATACTTCTAGTGTTAAAATGGTGTTGGTTTGCTGTGAAAACAATATTTTAAAGATTGAATTGGGACAAGCAAAGCAATAATCAAACAAAAAGCCAAACAAACTGGTACAGGTACTAGTTTTGAGTGTAGGCAATGGAGCAGAGGTGTGAAACATTTTTTTACGGTGGGCCATATAACCAACTACAGACATCTGGCCCGCAGCTGCCTGTTGCGAACCCCTGCAAAAAAAAATAAAGCACTACCTGATCCATACATTAGGATTAGGCGCATCTGCTTAGAAGACTGATATATTTAAAGTGCGCCTTATGGTTCATACGAAACATGGACATATAAAGGAAAATATTGTTTAGGATGTGACTTTATAATTGCACTAAAATACAATTACTTCATGCCACAACCTCACATTATGAATCTTTAACATTTTGAACTATTATACGAGTACAGTACAGTTCATGTAAAATATGCATCACTGCGCTTTTTTCTTACAATCACTTATCAATATTTTATTTTGATCTGTCATTATCCAGGCTACTTTGAGGGAAAGAACAATTGAAAAATAAAAATGAATCGATTTGGTAATATGTTGTTGTTTGCTTTTCTATTTAATTACTTGGCCAATTGCTTTGAAATTTGCAGTGGGTAACGCTTGTTGTTGTCGCTAGAAGACTATTGCTTTTATTTATTTCAAGAATATCTGTGGGCTCTATGGGATTTCACTTCCAGCTTTTGTGTGAAGACATCACAAAAATTAAAAATTGCGTGCGGTGGTTCCATGATCACATCTTAGTCTCTGTTGGTCAGACTATCGGTTTTGGGCTACGTGGTCATATATTAGAGCAATCTTTTTTTATCTATGCATTACATACTGACATTCCTGGTGCATTTTTTCTGTTATCTCGTAAACAATATTCAATGAAGACTCGCTTACATTCATCAACATTTTCCCATAGCACTCTGACATGTTCATTTCTGTCTGGTCTTGAATGTTCATGCCAAAAGCCAAGTGTGTGCATAATTTCATGTAATACAGCTCCCACAGCACTACAATGTTTTGATAATATTATATGTTGCTCTCCTCCTAGTCTGCTCACAGCTGAACTAGAAAATGGCAATAATTAATAATAATTAAGAATTATACAAGACGTTAATATTCAAGGGGTAAAATAAGCCAAGTCAAAAAAGTCAATGTTCTAACAAACTTATTATTGAGCATGGAATACAAGACGGGAATCACACAGGAGGCAGTGATGACAAATTTTATTTCAATGTATGTATTACCAAATATTTGAATGCACTAAATCACAGATTAAAATCTAGTGAGGGATAATTTTGCAAAGAGGATCGCCGGAATCTTACCATAGCAAAGTTGTTCATGCAACGCTAGTCAAGTACTAATTCCCCACTATGTCACTTACGAGCATCCGAAGCCATTCTTGAAGAGTATATAGTCTGGTTCATTAGTTCGAACAACCATTTCAACGCATGTTTCATTGATCAGCTGTTCGATAGCAGTATTGATGCCAATCAGTACAGCAGGATCTGCAATACAGCGATATTTCGACGTATAATAACTAGTTGTCACTTTAATCAATCTTATTTGTTAAAGCACTATGGCCAAATGACAAAATAGCCTGTATACAGATTGTAGAATTGATATTAGAACAATACGTCATATCAGAGTTTCAAATGAGAAAAAAATAATTTTCTACCCTACCATAGTGAAGTTGAAAATATTGTCAAACATTGCTATAGTAAAATCCGTGCTTTCTGTAACTGATTGTTTTTGCTGGTTACAAATACGCCTCTTTCTGAATTCTAGATACTTGCACGAGTTGCACCCAACATTTTATCACAAAAAGCCTTAGACAGTCATTCCCACAGTTCAGAAAATTTGACTCACCCAAATTATCTGCAAGCACATATGGTACTCTAACACTGGTACCCACTTTATTCAGATTCCAAATATTTAAAACATTTGTTGCACTGCCTGAAAAGAGCTGAAATGTGTGATCTTCCACCGTCATATAGGCCTAAACATATAAGCAGTCGTTACAATGGGCGGGGGTGATGGCGTATCGTTATCCCGAGTTTAAACACCATTACCACCACCGCATTTAGGATGCAATATATTAGGTAGGCAATGAGAAACATTTTGAATTACCCGAATTGGGAGTGTCTGAATTCCAGACTTTTCATAGTGATAGCCTAATCAATTTCTAAATTTTTACTAAAATCAAGAAAGCGTTCATAAGAGTCTATTGATTAAAGGAGCCTTGCATAAGCCAAACTTTCTATCATCAAAATTGGATTTCCTCAAGAGTTCGGTACGAAATCTCTATCAACCCGGCGTTAGAGTCAAAATCATTTTGAACACAGAATCTGTAGACAAGTTTGTGAATTTTCCACAGCTCTACAGTTTGCTATCCAGAGCCGCGTTTAGATTAAAAGTGAAAAAAAAATTTATTGTTCTCAACCATTAGTGAACAGTTTTCTTCAAAAGAGGTGAAGATAGAATGAGTGAAATCGAAACACTTACAGAAAGTAAAGTTTGTAAACTTTCTTTATCATAAGCCACATCTGATTCAAACAATCCTTCTGTAGCACAATTACATGATGTTATACAAGCAAACTCATCAGTTTCAAGACCAAGTGGACACAAAATGTCACAAGATTCCACATTAAATTCACATGTCTGACCTGTTTGAATTCCTGTAGAGAAAAAGGAAAATTTTACATTGATCCTATTGACCTATTACAATCTGTTACCATGGCATACATTTTATCATAACAAATTATAATCTCTTTTTTAAAATAGCTCAAACTTGATATCAAAATAAAAGCAATGATTGGTCAACTGAGCGTTTTACAAAACTACTGGTTTATGTTTTCATCCATTATATGTCAGGTCTCCAACAATACCAGTTTACTCCTTGAGCATGACATTATCAAAAACCAGCTTGTCCGCCTATGATTATGAATTTTTTTAAAAATTTCAATAATACGAAAGTTGATTATGTAAAGAAGGGCTGCTTGGTATCGTAGTGCGGTCAGTAACAAATTTCTCCATTGTCTGTGTCTATCTATCATCTGGAGCAATTATTTGAGAAGCTATTTCCATATGTACGAGCCACCAGATTGACTTTGCTCTTTTCTGCATTTAAATCCTATTTAGCGATACGAGAGAGAACTGAGAACAGCTATTTGGATTTGCTAAAAATTAACTCAATAATTCAGTCCTCACTTGCACATATGATAGCTTTGTATTCTGCTGGAAGTTCAAGACTTGTGCACTCATTATCACCAAATAACATCGGCCACACTGTAAATAATATAATAAAATAAAATAAACAATTGTAAAAAAACACAAAAGGGGCTACACACTTGAATTCCGTAACATACTTATATAAGCATGAATAATTTGGCTGTTTTGAATGTTAATTACAATGCCTTAACTGACATGAGACGACAAAAAAAAGTTTATTGAACAAAGTTTAAAAAAGTTTAACTGATAGATCATCAAAAAACAGGCCTATGGATTTTGTTCTAGATCCCCTGAACACTTGAGCATTTATCAATATGTACAAGAAATTTGCTTAAATTTGATCTACCTATGTAGGAAAGCTTGGGTGAAGATCAGAGCAAATATGATATGAACTATACTACAAAATAACTGCAAAGTTATTTTTAGATTAGAGCATGGGTAATTGCTACAAGAATATAAGTAAAAATATCACATCACCACTTACAATATAAGAAAATTCCAATAATTCCACTGAGCAAGAGTGAGAGTAATAACAAAAGACCAATTATTTTTCTCTTCTTTTTATGTTTATTCTCGTGATAGACTCTTTCGGTTTGATGCTGAGATTTACGTTTCTCGGCTTGGACAGATGGCTTCCTACCTTGAACAGACTGCCTTCGAGATCTGTGATATAACAAAAAACATATCATTCTCAACAAATTCTACTTGGCAAGAGACCCACAGACAGGATTAAACAAAGCTATGATCTCACATGTTCGCATGACAAATAACAATGGGGAAATGTTGTATCTAAGTATTAAAATTTATAACTCAAAATTTAATCATGTCTTTAAATTAGTGTTAACTCGTCTAATATGTGATTGAATCAAATAGCCTAGTAAAAAGGCTATAAGTTCAAATGTGAATCTGTATTCTTCAAGCAAGTCAAGTTAATTCCCTCACAAAATGCTGCTGATATAGTCATTCTGAAATCTGAATTATTAAAAGATGTGAAAATATGTAATTTCTCCTTGCATTCAAGAAATTTGAAGAACGAAAGCTTTATATTTGTATTACATTGGAAGTATGAAGATCAATATTTAAAGTGAGGGAAAGAAACAAATTGCAAGTGTCTTTGACTGAACTGTTTCCTCTACAAAGAAGGAGCAAAACAGCAACATGGCGAACAACCTGTGGAAAAGATTAGAAATCTGTCTGTTGTCATCGATATTTTTTATTCAGGGCAAGTTTCAATAGAATGTCTTGAAACTTTGCCTGTACAGCTGCATTTTCTTGGATAGTTTTCAATGCAACAATTCATAAAAAAAATGGATATGTCCATATACAATCATGCAGGGACCACTATGAATCTGGCAATGCAGAATAGCTGAGATAAACATTGTTCTGACTGATTTTCTATTTTTCACATAGCCTGAAGTAAAACTAAGTACCCTAAATTTTTTTGCCTGACCATTGCATGTCAAATTCTCAAAAGACGAATTTGGAAATGATTATTCCAAATTCTTCCCAAATGAATATATACCAAATAACTACATTTAATGCAACCCAATTTTGAAGGTATTTGAACAACATTTTGACACTTTTTGAACGAAAATAATGTATTACATGACAATTGATAAAGTGAGTAATCCAAATTTTCTAACCTTGAGTGCCTCCTGTGCTCAGTCTTCGGAGCACTGGCAGATGGCAATGGTACACCAGTATATGTTCCTCGGCTAATAACTGGCAGAGGAGGGTTTGTGTATGTACCTCGACTCGATAAGCGAGGAGGTGGGGGAGGAGGTTTTTCTTGCGTCTTCTCATCCTGTTTTATTGACCTTTTGTTGTTTCTTTTTGGACTTCGCTTTGATGGGGTTCCCTTTTTCATATTTTAGTGCCACAGCAAAAACAGAACAAATGTCCAAACGCAAAAAATTTATGCTTCATAAACAACATAAGATAAAATACTACAATAACAGAAAAGATGTGAAATTTGACAAGAAGGAAGATAAAGGTAATTGAAACGAAAATTTAGCGCCTACAATTTAAGCAATTGTGAAAGTATGAACAGAGACGCTGACCAGAAAAATTTGATTCCACAAACTGATGATGAAGCATATGCATCTAATGCACAACGCCTACCGGTATGTCTGTATCAGAAATGATGTAGAAATGTGCGAGTCAATTACATTACTTACCGTATACATCTATGAACTACTGCATTAGAGAAAGAGAGAAAGAGCAGGAGAGTGAGAATTAGTTACCGAGATATGGTAACAGCATCACAATGAACTATATAAAAGCTTACATTTCATATAATTCGTTTATTATGAGCCAGACTCAAAATAATTCCCAATTCAATAATTTCCAAAGTGTAGTCTGTAGATTACTGTTAACCGTGTATCACCACTCGTCCCATTTTCAATAAATGCAGAAGCGGTAATCGTATGTCATGCTCTAGTTTAAAATTTGCACCCATTTTGATTACCTACCGGTATTACATTTGTAAGGACAACTTTTACTAAAAATATCACGACAGCCAATCCTACACTTGCTAAATGCTAATTCCCCCGGAATAAATATGTAAATCTTATCCTAAATGTAAAACCATAATAATCGAGTCGTACTATAGCTACATTATCCAGACAATGGATTATTTTTTTCAACTGTTTCATCACAGTAAAGTGTCTAATAATTTTACTTCGAAGCAAATGGTAGGCAGCATGTACCATTGTTGAGAGGTTCGGCAAGCTAGTTGTCTAATTAACAACAAGTCACATATGATAGCTGTTTTCAAGTGAATCAGATGGAATTTTTGATATTATTTTAGTCATGTTTCAGAATCTTAGATAATCGTGCGCGATAAACGCTTTCCCAACGTAACTAATGTATTGTCGAAATCGAAAGGGATATAAAAAGTTGACTAATACTCGTTTTCGGAGTTTTGAGAATAATTTGTCAGTTTTTACTTTTGTTTCCGAAATTTAGGTGTTAATCAATGAACTTATAGCCGTCATTTTGTCTAAAATGAGATTTAGTTTTGTTGCAAAAATAAAAAAAAACGATCCCGACTAAAGCTAAAGGAATAGGCTAGGACGAAATCAACTGTCAGTACCAACGACTAACATACCGGTCAGTACTGATGGGATAATACGTGAAAATTTTGAAACAAAATGTTGATTTTGGAGATGCATACTAACGGGTCCAAAATAAAAATGAGAGGATTTGCAATGGTGAGTACTTTGAGGATTTTTTTCTAGACAGTGGTCAGAAAAACTTCCATTTGTTAAAGACAAAACAGCTCAACGAAGCTGAGAATATATATAAATTATGTTTGTGCAACAAACATTGGTACTTTTATTATACTGATTGGTACAACTAATTTGCTTGTCATCTAGGTGTCGTAGGTTGCTGTTAATTTTACTGATTTTCGCTAATCATTGAACTTAATTGAGCGTTGGAGTTTTATGCTTGACGGAAGCTTTAGTATATTTTTTAATGTTTACCTGTTGCCTTATATATTAATATATATATATTATATATATATTACCATTTTAGGCGCGATAATTTTTAGGAAATACAGAATATATATATATTGTTTATTCCAGCATATGTGCAATAAATAAATGTTTATTGAAAATCACTATTAAAAAAACAGATATTCGCTGTAACCTCCAACACCATTTGCTCGTGACTTTCGAATCTAACGAGTCCCAACGCTTATCTAAAGCGCCAGGCGACTCAGCGAAGCGTCGGACGCTTTGCCTAAGCATCCGGACGCTATTCCGGCGTGGGATGCTTATTCAATTGAACCAACTCCATTACTCATGCATTTTCACTCAATTCAACTCGGTAATTGTTGCGTGCTTATGTTTACATCGGGTATACCGCATCGAGTTAGTCTTGTAGATCTTTTATGGCTTATTGGTTATGATAGTTGAGTTTTCGGGCTTCAATTCTAAGTATACCAACAAACCTGCTGTGTAAACTATTTGTGATTTCTATGTCGTATAATCTTTCCGCATTCAGATGATAATTCGCGAATTTGCTGTGAACAAATTGACATAAATATTAATTTCAACTTTTTTTATTCATTTTTTTTTGTTTCCTTGCCAATTTTGTTTCCACCTATTTTTCTTGGAAATCGTTTAGCGACCTGAAAATCAATAAGTCTATTAGTGAAACTGAGATTTGTCAAAAAGGCGGGCCAGACCTGACGTCTTTGGGTGTCACGGTAGACTATAAAAATGGTAGAGATCCATGTCTTTAGTCAGAACAACCAAACAACTCGCGATGTCAAGTTCAAGATTATTTTTTATATTATTCGCAATTGGTGCAGCCGATCTTGCGGCGGCTAAATGCAGGAATCTACCATTGAGACCAATCGACTGGACGCGGGTAAGACGTAATACATATATATATTCTTCTTCTCTTTGAATAATACAGTACGCTTGACTCTTCAGCATACTATACCTGCTAACTGAGCAATAGCAATGATCTCACAATTATCTAATTGGTAGTTTTCAGGTATGTGGTATAATACCTTCAGTTACAAAGATGATCCAACACAAATTGAAGGACTCTGCAACAGCATGGTGGTCGTCGGTACAAAAGGATACGAGGGAGTTGCTGTTGTTAGAAACGTTATGCCAGGAACGTATGATTTGAAAATATTTTAACATGCCATAGCGTTATTGTCCATGTAGAAAGACCGTTAAGATGTACAGGTATTGCGAGTTCATGCTTCTATAAATTTGCTCCATCGTGGATTCGCCATCAGTAATCGAATTTCATAAATCTTTGCTTTGCGTGTTACTTCTAAGTTTTTCATTCGGCCATTTTCGATCGCTACTTAAAATTGTATTATGATATCACGTTTCAAATTTATGACGTCACTTCGGCATTTTAGGCGTATGTCTTCGCCCACATTGATTCTCAATACTTCGCCCACTCCGGGGAGTCCGGGCAATGAAGTTGACTATCTAGTAGGGGTTAGGTCATTCAATAATCTAATTATGATATAACGTTTCGATACTATGACGTCACTTTGAATTTTTGGATATGGGTCTGCGCTCTCATTTATTGCCAATATCCCACTCACTCCAGGCGATGAAGTCGACTATACTGGGGCGGTTACGTGATTTTCAATATATAATTGCTTTGTCAGTTTAATTGATTGTGTGGTATAATTGTATCTCGATTGCTTTTCAGCGCTAATAATACGGAGGGAGAAGAACATGTGCTGGCAAGCGTTCCAGAATACTTCCGTAGTTTGGATCCAGGTGTTTACCAGCTCGACCCTTTGTCGCGTAAGTCAAATTTATTATCAAATCACTTATGCGGAAACACTTTTCAGTAACGCGTGCTCCGCAGTAATTCCTCGATTCAAAATATTGCGAAAAAATATTATTCAATAATTTTATATTTCTACGTTTACAGAAATAGAATGGATGAATATTCACGAATTAGAAAAACTCATGCCAAGAAATAAGATCACTTCTTTCATGAACGGTAAAATTTTCTTGAGTTATTTTTATAATTTTTAATTCAGTATATAAACGATAGGAATTGGCCACCAATATCGCAGAAAAACATGAATGTTTACCATTCGTTGTCTTGAAACATGGAACTTAAAATGGAACTTTTCCTCTTATCATCTTTCTGTCGAGACTCGAATTAATTCCATTTTAAATAGCAAACAAGTTTAATGCTAATCTAAAGCTTGAATCATTCACTATAATAAACTTGGTAGAATTTTGCTGTTTTCCAGTGTAACCCGACCTATTTATTACGAGGTGTATCATTAATGAATGAATAAATATAAAATACGCTATTCGACGCCATTAAAACATAATTTTAAACTGAAGTTATTTGCAGCAATTTCGAAGCATTACACAAACCCATTTCAAATCACCGCGGGAGAAAACTTCTTCATGATTCACCAATGCGATTGCACCGGTAAGGAGTTTTAATTCTTTAATCTGCACCAGCGGAACAAAATTAGCCAATGTCAATTTATAGACGATTGAAGTTTATTGTTATTTCTCAATTTTAACAGAGGACAAAGACATGGTTTGGATATACACGACGAATCCTAATCTGACAGAAGAGGAAACGAAGAGTGTCCGGGAACATTTGGTTTCGAGGGGCATTGATGTGGAGCTGCAGAGCAATGGAGCATGCTTCGATTCCTTGAATTATATTTATGAGAAAGCCAATGGAATTAAGAAATAATTTCTTGTAATTTCCAAAATATTTATCCATATGTTGACTTCATGTGTTTACTTTTCACAATCATGACTGCTAATTATGCTCGATGAGTTCTTTCATTGTGAATGATCTTTAAACACAAATGCTACTTTGGGATGTCTTATTTTCTACAAAATAAAGACATATTATAATGTATAAATTTTCTGTTATGAAAAAGAATTGACATAAGTTTCAGAGATCAAATTCGCATAAACAGTGGTTTTTAACCTTTGCAAACGTGTCAAACCCCTACGTTGTTCTGCAAGCCTGTGTCGCGCCACAGCGATTTGAACAGTTAAAACCAGAGGCGCAACTAAAACTTTATAAGCGGGAACATGAATTGCAAAAAGAGAACTATAACTCCACGTGGTCATCGGTCTAAGTGCCCTATGTGATTAACTCATTTCTAAAAAGAAACTCGGAATGCAATTGTTCGAAGTTTTCAGACCAACTAGCAACCACCGTCATCATTGCACTGTCGAAATCACTATTGTTGTATCACAATGGCGTAGGCGACAGGGAATTTGTTGACAGTAAGATGTTTTATGTTGTATAACTTGTATGGGTGGGAGAGGGCTAAAATGCGACTTTGGATATTTGAAAGATGAACAAATACCCCGAAAACGCTGATGGCCCTCGTTATATTTTCTCCAACTTCAAATATTCAGCGTGAATTCGCAACGTTTTTCACAACAACTCATATATTTCGAAGCTATGGGCAGATAACATCTAGAAATGCTATAATGTGAAAGTACGCCCAAAAGTGCGACATTTTCGATGAAGTGTACTGAGATCAATCATTGTAAGGTCCCCAGAAACGTATATCTGTGCGATAAGCTAGATATTTTAGGAGTTGAATATCTGCTGTAAAATAAAGGTATTTTTACATAATCGATAGGCTGGATACTAGAAATAACTTAATGATATACAAATATTTCAGAAGATTTTAGTCGAATTAGCCTTAATTCTCGATATTTCATAAATTACCGAAACGGCTACCGTGATTAATTAATAAATTCCAAAATGACCTAATTTGTCATCTTGTCCTTGCGATCTCGCATGAAATAGATTCGAGTGAAGCCGAATTGTCTGAAGTATGACAAATGAATGAAAGTGAAACGTTGATTTAGTTCCCACGTTCGTTAGGGCCAATATTACGGATGTCTGCCAATTCAAATAAACTGACTAGCCGGGAAACGGATGTTGCCAGGTAAGAAAATGGCATATCCTTGGCGAGTAATTTGTTAGTTTGAAAATATAGAAAAGCATAAAATCGTTTTTGGAAACACGACACTTTAGTTTGCACTTTTAGTTGTGAATCACAAGAAAGTTAGTAAGCTGAAAAAATGGCAAATACAAGCATCTTATAATTTGAAATCATGCACACTGGGTCTGCCCATAAATGTCCTTTGGGCCAGTTTCGCTATTTCAATTTGGCTTGGTTATAAAAAGCTATCAGTCAATTTATATCTATATTATGCGATCATACTTCATTTTTGAAGTCATTCACTTTAGCGAGAAAAATAGTTCCGATTCCTAATACAATAACTTTGTCATCGTTCCTAATAACGATGTGAATATGCCAATATTGTCTGTCTGTCTGAATTAAGATAATTCTTACTATATATATACATCATTGGCATATATATTTCTTTTCAAATGGCAACAACGTAAATCTATATGTCTGAAACGTGGAAATTGAATAAATCTTGGCGTTGATTTCCACGTTCAATAATGCCAATTGTATAGAAAGTCGCCAATTCAAAGAAACCGGCTGAATAAAAATTTGGATGTGACGATGCCCTGGGTACGCCAATTCATTTGCAACTGTGATAATTGGGAAAATACATAGTAGTAGTAAGAATATTATAATGTATAATAAAATACATAGTAAGAGTAGTAGTATAAAAATGAAAGTCAAAACATAGATAAATATCGTATTTGCAAAAAGCGGCATCAGTTGTGAATTTCGGAGAAGTTCAGAACGTGCCCAAATACAAACAGTACATGTTTAGGATAGGTGTCCTAAATATAATTAGTTATCAGTGACGCTTAATATTCTCTGAAATAGTCCCATCCATTACATTTGCTATTTAATTCAGATTTGTTTTAGTCAACCATTTTTATATACATTTCATACTTGAAGGTATTCACGTTATTGAGACAAATATTTGATAATTATTTCAAATAAGAACTTATATTCGTTCTAGATGTTGTTGCAATACTTACACAACTTGTATCGGTTTTGCATGTTTTACCATGAATATATAAGTCTCAAAACAATCACTCGCATATCCATTTTTGTTTACTGTTTATATTTCAAAATCGCAAATTTGACGCTAAAGTGTGTGCCAGTTTATAAAATTCCAAAGGTATTATAAACATGAAAACTAAATGAGGGTATATGCACAATGGAAGACAAGGGAAATATTGACATATTACATAGTAGTAGTACCTATATTTTTGGCTGAGGTAGTGTGCCATTGTCAAGAAAAAACTGTGTGAAAAAGAGATGGCCTACTGTTTGAAATACAATAAAACTTGATAGATAGTTTATCAGTGTTAATTATAGTTTACTAACCTGACTTGATAACTTGGAATAACAATTTCAGCTTTAGGTCACATACAACGTAAGTCGGCCTACGGGTGACAGGTTTTACGTCATACAGGAAGGACTTCACTATTAAATCGTTATTGATCTATTATATATGTGCTTTCTGAGGACATTTTTCACAATATCTGTAGCATAACTTATCGCTTCAAATTCCTGATTAAGTGATGTGTCGAAAGTTGATACAGGCCATATGAATAAAATAAAATTGTCGAATATTATTAATGGCGGTATTCAATACTTGATCACATTATATATATATCATCCCAGATAATTTATGTTATATTTTTTAATTATGTCCTAATATGGGTCAAAGACTATGTTAGCATTGGAATGTATTATTCTATTCTATTTTTATCGTTGTTTCCTGCAATTTTTCAAATGGTAAGTATAAAGTTTTGCACGCGATGATACAATACATGGAAACTTGATTAATTAAAAAATTAGCAAGCATGCGCGCGCCGACTTTGCTACTTTAATAACTGCATATATAATAAAATAAAGTCTACACACAGCCAACACCATTTGTCTCTTGAGAATAATTTCCTAGAATGTTACAGTGGTATGGTTTGACAATTTTCAGGGGGTAAGTCTCACACAGTAGGAAAACCGTCCTAACAATTTTTTTTCGTAATCCCCGTTAATCTCGCTGGTCTGCTAATGGACTTGGCCCGCAATATTCGCATCCAGTCAAGAGCATTGTTGCGTCTCGATGTCAATCGCGTTGTTGGTAGAGACAGTAATAGTAATAGCGACACTTCTCGCGAGTTGTGGGCTAAACTTGCACAAATCGAAAAGTGTCGGTGCCCAACAAGTAATCATTTCTAATTATTGCACCGTTTTCTTTGGGAAAGCTTGTAACTTTTTTGAATACGGTAACAGTCTGTAATCCATTAGTTTAGGGCCAAAGTGCCACACCTACCGCGAAATGCGCACGTTCCAGTTGCGCGTCATCATATTTCTACAGGAGACTGGAGAAAAAGTACGCTTACAATGGTATTTTCCTATCCTAACCATTAAGTTTTACACTCTCAATCACCAGTTTTGTAAGACGCTATTAAAGATGATTTGAGATTTTTTGTAAGCAAATAAAAGAATCTGAACCATTCGGCGTTCGCAAAACTAACTGGATACTGTGATATTTGAGTAGGATAGTGAAATGCTATCACCTACTATAACAGATGAGCACGAGTATTAAAACATACCCAACAACGAAATATTTTATTTCAAAGAACAATGATAGTAAAGAAATTTGCATTAAATAAGAACAAAAACAAGAAAACAGCGGTGGCAGAAATGGCACAGTTTAGACCCAATGACTTTTTCCAAGCATGATCATGCTTCAGCAGCACTTTACAGAATATTATACAAAGCGGCATGATACAAATATTGCAATATATAAATTAAACAGTTTCTTGGAGACCGACACTGGTTGGATCAAAATAACCTGTCTTGTGTCGTTCATCAGACGATTCCTTTCTCATTTTCATAATTTGCTGCAGGACATTGATTTCTTCTTGGTCATCTAAGACAATAAATTATCAGTCGGTAAATTATTTTTCACCAAAATGAAAATACACTTGATGCAAACATGAAAATGGCATTTCACGGTGAAGGGTGACGCGAAAATACCAATGTCGGTTAGCAGCACAGCCAGGTACTGGTTGAAAATTAAATTAAAAAATTAAAAAGATTATTTATGTCCAAAAACAAACAAAAAAGAGACTCCGAGCACCGGCGAGGTATCAGTTATTAAAAAAGATATGATCGTGATTCTTCGCCATTAATTCGAACAAGGATCAAACAATCAATCACTCAGTAAACAACAACCTTGATTCTTGGAGAACCCAAATAAAAGAAGCAAGCAAAATCAAGAGACTATGAGTGAATTCTCTCAGCTTCTGAATGGTTCCACTTCATATATAAATAACGATCACAAAATAACGATTTAAAGCTCATTGCAAGCCAAATACTGATATTTCCCTAATTTACAAAAAACAGCAATACCTAAAAGCTATGGTACAGACCTTCATTCAGGAGGTTAGTTGTCTCTATTATCACATTATCTTTACTAGTAAATGAGGCATAAGATGGTACAAATGGAGCTTCATCAGCTTCAGATGGAGATTCTTCAATAACTTCGTTCATTGCACTATCTGCATATGGTGTGCTGGGCGGGGTCTCGCCATAACCAAACAAAGCTTCAGGAAAGAAAAAAGGGGAAAAAATTATTTGTTGCATATACTATACATAGTGTTTTATAGTCAATATATATATATATATAAATACTCAGATATGAATTAAAAAAAGAAAGTGATTTTTTCACAACAACAAGGAGAAAAACACAAAATGACAAAACGATCCATAGGCATATTTCCACTTCATGTCCAATAACCTACACTACTACTGATCGGCGTTACAGTAGAGCATTATAGTATACCAGAAAATTTTTGAAAAATTCTTACCATCTGGTACCAAATTTGACTCCTCTTCAGGTAAATCTTGTGTTCGTCTGAGATAATGCCACGTCCATCTTTCTCTACATATTGATGAATCATATGTAGACACACCTTTGTCTTTCCGAACAGCAAAAATATGAGAACAAGGGAGACCAGTCACAGTGTTGAAAACGCATGGGCAAGAGGATATGCTTGTAACTAGCACACCATATTTTGGACTTTTAATCGTTGATACCTCATCGTTTAGGCTCGAATCAATTTTCACCTTGGGAAAAAAATGAAGTTGTCTTTTGACAAAACTGAATGCGTATGTTGTAAGAAGGTTTTTGTATTGCATCTCTGCGATGTGAAATTCAGAAGTTATAACAGGTCCTTTAACAGGAACGGTGAGTGCTCTCTGTTTTCGTTCAAGCTGAAGTGAACCAATGCTCCTCAATAGGTCATGGAAAAATTTCGGAACGGTTTGAAAATTATCACAAAGGCTTTTTACTATTTGGTTAATAGCATCCAGCCTATTGTTCTTTTGATCAAGAAAATAGGCAAATGGACATTTTAGGCCATCGACCCATTCATCCTGTACTGTGTGCCAGTTATTCATGAAGTACGCAAACAATTCTGCAGGGGCATACAATTTCAACCTCTCAAAGTGAAATGAGTAAACTTCTTGATTCTTAGCTAAAATCATTTTCTTCATAATTTTGAGACATGCATGTTTCTCTTCAACACATTCAAAACCGTTGTCTTTTTCTGAATAAATTTCACGGCGGAAATTTCTCATTGCGTGAAAATATGAGATAAACGATTCTGCATTGGGAAGATGAGACATCAAAAGGTTTCTGTTGCGATCTTCTTTGCCACAAACGGCCACAGTAATTTGTTCCCAACCTGGATTGTACTCTTTAAACTGCTTGATGAGGTAAAGTAAATTATCTCCATTCTCTTGAGTAACAAACCATAAAGAGACGATTGCAGCCTGACCATTGCCATCCGTATTCATAACAACATACAGCGTCAATCCCATGATCTCAATTTTATGGCTAGCATCGATAATAAACACCTCAGGATAAGCTGCAAACATCTTCCTCATTTCTATAGTTTGAAAATAAATTGCTTGTGGCTTCATTCGTTCCTCATAAACTTCAGTTATGGCGCCTAAAGTGAATAAGGCCTTGTTGAGAATATCTAGGGCACGAACAGTGTATTAAAAATGTAAAAAATATAATTTGCCAATGTTTCAAATATCTATCCAGAAAAACTTCACCAGGGCACTATCATATATATTATATAGAAACGAGGCAAAAAATGGGCGCTCCAGAAGTGTGTGTACCAATATGGAGGTAAGAAAATTTTGTTAGCCTAAGTTGTGTAAGAGACTGAAGCCTAGGGCAGGGCATATATCCACTTGGCTAACACAAACAGCCCCCGAGCTTGTAATAGAACTAAAATAAGAAAAATCGGAATAAAAATATGGCCTAACCCTAACCTGGTACACACACTATGGGAGTACCAAAAAATGTAATATCTAATCAAAGAACAAGATGACATATGAAGCTATGATATGATATCTGGGCTATTAGGGACCAGGGACTAATTAAATAGTCATGTATACACAGTCAGGGACATAGGGCAAATGATTTTACTATATAATACTATAAAAAACACATATCAATTGGTTGTTTGTATCGTGCTTTCACCCAAGTTTAAATGGGCATCCAACTTTACCTAAATAAAATATACTAAGAAATGCAATCCTGATAGATCTACATTATTCAAGCAAAATGGGTAAATAGAATTCGGATCTCCTGAAGTATGCGCACCAAGATGGCGCACAACGCGCACAACCTGAACTCAGGTTGTGTACAAGGCTAGGGTTCAGGTTGTGCGACATCTTGGTGCGCATACTTCAGAAGTACCTAGAATTCATTAGAAATCACTTACCATTAACTTCGTAAAATTTTTCCACAAGTTTTTTAAATTCCACTCTTTTACTGAGTTGCTTTTTCACAGTCAATAAGTCGACAAAGTCATTTTCTTCTTCTTCATCATCATCGTCTTCATCATTATCACCCAACAAATCTCCGTTCATCATTGAAAAATAATCATATGAAGGTCTGTCATCGATTTTTTTATTCCTCATTTTGGATGGTCGTTTCATTGAAGAGGGCATTGCATCAGTGTGTTTTCGTTTTTCCTAAATAGGTTTTTTTGTTGTTGAAAGATACTATCACTCTGAACAAGACTCTGTATAAGTATCATCTGATATATATATAAGGCTGCAAATTGATAGTTTTTTTTAGTTATAAGACATTAAAGAAGAAGGCTCTGTATAAGCAGCCTCTGATATATATATATAGGGCGGCTAATTGATAGAAAATGTTCATGCCTAAAATATTTAATTTATGCAGTGCAACAAGCCAACAACATTACTGTCTAATTTTTGAATAGTGGTAATGCTACTAAAATACTAAATAAAAAGGGGTAAATTTTAAAAACCTTTCAATTCGATCTGAGATGTAAAATAAAACTCACTGATCTCTTGTTGTTACTTGTTTCCATGTCATGTCCATTATGATTAGAGGTAGAAGGTGCTTGTAGAGTGGATATGGCTTGCTCTACATTATCAATATACTGAACCAAGCGATTGTTTCCAGTTGATGATACTCTGCTGGATGCTTGTCGAACAGGTCTAAATAATTCATAAGTTATGTTTAAGAAACTGAAATATATATTAATATACTTTCCATCAAGTTCTTTATTAACAAATAAGTATGCATCAAAATGCCCCCCGATTATTTATGGACGTCATATTTTGATGTTTAAAGTGAGGGGTATAAACTGAAAAAGTTAATGCTAAAAAATCTGTCAGGTATTTGCATTTCGAGCTGGCAAGTATATCTTTTCTACATTAATAACAACAAACTTTGAAATGTTTTATTGAGTTTGAATTATCCAATATTCACCTACTCTCAACTCACATATCACAATGACAGGTCAGAAGTGCATTTGAAATTGGATATTGTGAAATACAGCATGAACCAGAAAAGTTCTGGTTACAATATGACTCATTTCACATATTGCTAACTGCTAAGTATTCAATAACAAGCTGATGAAAGTCTGATAATTAAACTACGCTATTTACAAACAAAATTAGGATTAAATCAACTTTGAAGTTCATGAATATGAGTGAAAAGTCTAACCTGACTCTTTTCTTTTTATGCTTGGCATTCAACAGTCTATATTTTGGTGAGCATGAATGAAGAGTTCTGTGTTCTGATATTACACTAAATGTTTTCTGAAAAATATGAAACGGTGAACACCAAAGCAAAAATACACTTTCACTGGTAACACTAAGAATTCACCTCTTTTTTCTCAAATTTGGTTTGAATACTGGCTCGACGGAGTGGCGACGTGGCACATTATTCTAAGCATTAGGGATACGCTCGCCACCGTGCCTCTGATAACCTTGTGTGGGTTTTTGCCCAACATGGACTGGTAACCTCGACGAAAAAGCCATTGTTCACCATATGAGTAAGCCATTTTACCGGCTTCCCGTCCACGGGGTAAAATGTAAGTCCTATCCTATTCGTTTGAAAGCAAACTTTACAATAAAAAAACAATATTAATAACAAAATAGGTTAACCATGAGATAAGCTTAAAGAAAGTATTGATTACTACGGGCCAGTACATCCAATAACAATAGCTTTTAAAAGTTAATATACATAACAACACAAATACACAATGTCATAATGCATCTTCCTTATTCACCTTAGAAACATCATGATTGTGTACATCGCATATTCTTCGAACCTCAAGCAACTGGAAATCATCAGAAAGACCAATTCTTATTTCTGCTTTGCATTTCTCTGGATTTTTCTTCAAGATCTCCGGAAGAACTGACCTACTATGAATGATTTAATAAATTCATAGTCAACAAACGTTCTAAAATACAGTAGCCTATTTAAGAGAAGTAAAGAACTTGAAATTATTTAGATTATATTTTTTCTTATATGATATTTCCCCTGTAGCGAAAGTAAAATTTAACCATATATAATTAATTTTTGCTGCATGAAGAATGAATATGAATTATTGAATTAATTTCAAAATTGGAATTAAATCATTTTCATAAATTTTAAAATACTAAAATAGCCATGTTAAAATACAGCATAGTAAAAAATATATGGAATTATTAAGGAACTAATAGAAAATCCCTCTCCTGATAACAGAAATGGCGTCATCAAAAAAGATTGAATAATTGAGATATAATACATGATATGCTCAATGCATTCATATAAAATGCTTAGCGGAAACACAATTGAAAAGATTAATTTTTTTGTGCAAATTTTCAAACCATATCATTCTTTTTTTTTTTACTAAAATCTGATTGTACCAAAGCAAAGACTTATAAATTGAGACAAGATGAAGAGATAAATATACCATCCCGAGTAGTTGAGTAACATTTAAAAATTTACAATACAAATTTCACAAATACATTTTTCCTGTAAATACATTCTATAACATAACAATATTTAACTCACCGCCCAGTGGTTTTTGCTTTTTGGGAATCTCGCCTTCCAAACACACAAATATAAAGGATACTGTGATAGACAAGATCCGGATTCGCCAAACGCGCAACTCTTGGTCGTTTTTTCACGGCTCCTTTCAATGTCACAGAATCCCGCATGTAAAGAAGTATTTCAGATTCATCCTGGACTCTATCGATAGTTTTTTTAAGGTCTTCAAAACAACTGAAAGTGTCTCCAGCCTCTATCCCTACAAACCTTTTTCGTCGTTGCATTACTTCAATAGAAAAATATACATAGGCCTATATCTACATCGCAATAGAAATGTATTGAGAATTGGGATCATTTATATTTGCAAAAAGTTGATGAAGCTAAGTCACGAAGTTGATTAACGGGCATTTGTATAACATGACTCAATCTTCTTTTTCAGACTCGGCCTACTTCAATCAACCAAACTAATTTTTGTTAGGCATTCCCAAAAGAGCAAAAGCTAGCGCAATAAAAGAAACTGTCCCTATGTTTACATGATATATTTGTCTGTTTGGTTTCAGAATTTCTTGCAGTATCTGCAGTCTGCACTTTACAACCACATAACCAAAATAACTTTTGTATATACCAGCGGTCACCAAAAGGGGGCACCTGGGGGCCATTTGCTAAGTGCGCCCTGAAAATTAAAAGAGTTGTGTTGAACATAACTAATAAATGATTGAATATTTTACATATTGTATTTATTATGAATGTTTTGTTTCTTATTTTAAATGTTGTGTATATGAATTTTACCTTTCTATGTTGTCTACTTTCTGTTATCTAGTGCAGTGGTCTTCAAACTTTTCATGACGCGACCCCATTTAAAAAAATTATGACTTATGATGAGCATTGGCGCCCCCAAAGTAAATTTATTGAAATGAAAAAAATAAAACCAACGAGAATATCGGTCAGAGACCGAAGACTTATCGATCGAAAGTTAGGGGATCCCCAAAAACAGCACACTTACTCCATAGTGACCAGGGTTGCCAGACCCCAGTGATCAAAAAAAGCCAAATCAAGACATAAAAAAAGCCAACAATTTTACTAAGTACAAAAACCCCATGATTTATCAGATTTTAAGCCCTTGCCAACGTACTGATGATGATATAGAGCCATTAGTTCATTCAGTGAGGTACACGAATAGAAAGTAAAGTTCCTATAGAACTGTAGAAAGTAAAATAAATATCAAGCGAACAGCATTATTTTACCATTCAATATATACAATACAGGGTGCCGCTTCAGTCTGTCAGTATGTAATATACCTACATGTTTCTACTTAAACCCGTGATATACCTTAAAATTTTTTCCCTATATCGTACTTTACTATTGAAAATTTTTTCACTTTCAAAATTTATAAACAATCAATTTTATTAAAAAATTATCTAACCCCCTGCCGCTCACAGGTGGACCACTGATATCTTATTCAGTCATTTTAGCGTAGTTAATCACATCGTTACTGCAATTGCAGAATTAAACTAAAGCTCACATAAACCATATCAGGCATAATGAAAATTAAGTTGTACAACTATTTTTAGGAAACCGAACTTAAAACTATCAAATAACACGCAAAACTATAAAAACGAGGCGATGTTTACAACCCTGCTGCTGCTTAGACATCTGTCTGAGCAGCTGCAGAAACTGCAATTATTTGTTATTGGGTATGGTCAACGACTAACATGGGTATGGTTAAGAGTTAATGTAACAAACAAGGAAATCGATGCTCCAGGAAATCCTGATGTTTAGTAGCTAAGTACAGGTAATAAGCTATTAATCAGTTGTTTCGCACTAAATATTGTATTTTATATGATTCCAATATTAGACACTAGAATAGACTTGAAAAAAGCCAAAAAAACGCCAAAAAGCCAAACGGAAATTCTGACGCCAATCGCGTTTGAAAAAAGCCAAAAAAGGCAAATTTGGCGTTAAAAAAGCCAATATGGTAACCCTGATAGTGACACCTTGTGTCCCATCACTAATTAATTGATAACTCGCTAATTATACGACATAATTCGCCCAAAATCAATAGGCTTCTGGTCCGAGATAAGATGAATATACATGCAAAATCTGGAGCAGATTCAATCTCGCTTTCGTGAGATATCGCGTGCATCTAACAGACAGATAGACAAACAAATACCTATCAACATACTTACCGATTAAAATCGATAAGTAATAAAAACTGATCAAACTTTTAACCGATTGCTTCTCTTAGCAGAGCTTTTGAGAATGTGGCATAATGTAGCTTAGGCTTCTTATCGATAGAACTTTTTGATAAACAGCGCATTTCGTTTGGCACTTTATTTCGGTTAAACCATGCTTTCAAATTATTGTAGTTACACAATAGCCTTATTATAGAGATATCACTCTAATTCCGAATATCGCTAGTCGACCTAGTGAAGTGTAGCCTGCACACTGTTGTGTATCAGCTCATTCTTTTTCACACGAACTCATTTGTGATCAACATGTCATAATTACTTTCTCGTAATTACTCCTTGTCTGCTTCCTTATTATTCGTGTGAAATGTATAGCGTTAAAACTGTGTTATACTGACGTTTTACTTATAATAAACTGTACTATTTAAGGCGACCCACACTTTGGTGACCACTGATCTAGCGTCTGTATGTAGACACTACTTGCTGCTTTCGCAGTTCATATTTCTGTATTTATCTGCTGAACCAAGTTTAGCGTGATTTTTTAGTACTACAAAGCAAAATCAGGCAGAGATGAGGAAGTTCATATTTCTGTATTTATCTGCTGAACCAAGTTTAGCCTAATTTTTAGTACTACAAAGCAAAATCAGGCAGAGATGAGGAAGAAGAGTTGATATTGCCTATTTTCACATTTTGAAAGGCACACATTAACAATCACAAAATTGAGTTTTATTTGAAGGCAGCAATAATTGTTATTTCCGTGTACCGGTAAGTGCCCCGTGGGTTTTCCACCTGATAATTTGGCGCCGCATGAACAAAAAGGGAACCGCTGGATTTTTTTTTATTTAGGTTATGTTTTTTTTTCTGTGTAGGCTATCCATTTTATATCAATATCAGGTGTGTCTCAAAGATGAAATAGCAGAATAGATTACTTTAAAAACTCAATCTTCATGCTCTTTAAACTATTTTCTATGTTTGATAATCTGGAATGTTTTTAATGCTCAGTGTATACCGTCTGACCGTGTACGTGTGTATTTATATTTTATGATTTACTATAACATTCTGGAATTGCAGAATTTGATGATGAGCGGTGACCGCAGAATTGCATCGTGATCATCCAAGACTACCGCAAAGTCTTTGTGCTCATATTTATATTTTTGGTTTTCAATAATAAAAAAAACTCTCTCTCGAATCCATTTTACCTATCTCTAACCCTGGGTACGGACAGCGAGAAAAGGCACCACCAGAAACCTTACCTGGCGCGACGCCGTGATTGTTCTGATTGGTACTCGGAAGCATACAATCAGGGTTGCCAGACCCCAGCGATCAAAAAAAGCCAAATCAAGACATGAAAAAGCCAACAATTTTACTATCAAGACATGAAAAAGCCAACAATTTTACCAAGTACAAAAGCCCCATGATTTGTCAGATTTTAAGCGCTTGGCAACGTACTGATGATGATGTAGAGCCATCAGTTTATTCGGTGAGGCACACAAATAGAAAGTAAAGTTCCTATAGAACTGTAGAAAGTAAAATAAATACCGGTATCAAGCGGACAGCATCATTTTACCATTCAATATATCTATGCAATACAGGGTGTCGCCTCAGTCTGTATTATAGCTACATGTTTCTACTTAAACTTGTGATATACCTTAAAAAATTCTCCCTATATCAGTATATCGTGCTTTACTATTGAAAATTTTTTCACTTTTAAAATTTATAAACTATCAATTTTATTAAAAAATTATCTAACCCCCTGCCGCTCACAGGTGGACCACTGATATCTAATTCAGTAATTTTAGCGTAGTTAATCACATCGTTACTGCAATTGCAGAATTAAACTAAAGCTCACATAAACCATATCAGGCATAATGAAAATTAAGTTATACAACTATTTTTTGGAAACAGAATGTAAAACTGACAAATAGGCAAAACTATAAAATCGAGGCAATGTTCACAACCCTGCTTGAACATCTGTCTGAGCAGCTGCAGAAACTGCAATTATTTCTTATTGGGTAGGATATGGTTAAGAGTTAATGTAACAAACAAGGAAATCGATGCTCCAGGAAATCCTAATGTTAAGTAGCTGAGTACGTTGATACAAACTAAATATTGTATTTCATATGATTTTAATAATAGACACTAGAATAGACTTGAGAAAGGCCAAAAAAACGCCAAGAAGCCAAACGGAAATTCTGACGCCAAACGCGTTTGAAAAAAGCCAAAAATGGCAAATTTTGCGTTAAAAAAGCCAATATGGCAACCCTGCGTACAATCCATTGAGGTGTATTTATACAGTGTACTTATACAGTGTATTTATACCATGTTAGTAGTGTCTCAATAATTCCCACTAGTGGCGAACTCGGATCATACCGAATGTACACTCGACTTACCGTATATATCTGGCGCGTTAGCCCAGACCCCGGACATTATGCCAACAGGGGTGATAACTTTTTTGTGGCTTTGGAGCCAGGCCACACAAAAGGGGCCAGGCCACGGAGAGAATGGGGCCAGGCCACAGAGAAAATGGGGCCAGGCCACGGACAAATTGGGGCCAGGCCACGGAGAAAATGGGGCCAGGCCTCAGAATATTTGGGGCCAGGCCAGCGCAATGGTAATGTTAAGACATCCGTATTTGTTTAGTTATATTTTTGTTTATAAGTAATGTGGAAACTGGTAATGTTAAGACATGTACGGTACTTGTACAATTGAACCGTATCGTATGTTACAACCAGGGAAAATGCTGTATTCGAACACTTACTCATTACAAATGTAGAGGTATAAGTTTATTTCGACTCCATAATCAGCAATAGATGATAAAATAATAGATAAAAACAAATGATAAAGTAACTGATTATAGAATCGGGAAAGCAAACAAAACCTCAAGTAAAGTTTGAAGCCTACATATTTCAGATGGAAAGGTATTGATAAAAGAAGTAGTACGTGTTCGCTCACCCAATGTATTACTTATGTGAGGGGGTATATTGCGAGCGATACATTATTGTAGTGTTTCTACTGGTCACCGTATCTATACATTTATATTCCTCACCGCATTCATTGTCTTTTTACTGTAGCGTGAACTGGTGCCTATATGTTAAAAAAAACTCAGTGAAATAAGTTATATTTATTGCTTGTTGCATACCTTTTTGTGATTGTTAATTTTTTTTAGCGAATATGTGTTGTTATTTAATTATTTTCATACAATACATGGTTAATAGATCAGTGAATAATTCCACCAGTGACTCAAATGCTATTATTAAATGAAGTCCGTACTGATAAATTGTGTAGTTCTACCTGTATTGCATAGGCAATTGACAGGGGTTTACACGCTAAGATGTTTTAGATTTGTAATACAAATTGCAGGCACAACATATCGGTAGCTGGTATACGCTATCACAACCATTAGTATCCCAATACTCAACATGCAAAAAAGACTACTCTTCTCCGTTATACATTATCTCTAACAGAAAACAAGATCCATGCATACCAGTTGATTAACTGTTTCATTTATTGAAAAATATGCAAACACCAGATTGGCAGGATTCCAACATACTCTTTTTTAAAATAAGATTCATCTCTGAGGGAGTCCTTTTTGTTAGCATCTCAAGACTTTCCTATTACCGATAATTACTTCAATTATATTCAGCGTAATGAATATCAGGGATGAATGTTCAATCATAAGACTGTTTTTTTAATATAAGTCATCATAGATATATCGGAAAAGTAACAGTAGTACAAACGCATATTAGATAATCATAAGCAAGGAAATTGTAAGACTCTTGACTGGAACTGGTTTAGAGATTCAAGGGAAAATTCGCAAAATTCAATTTGGTATTTTTTCAAATTTGTTTTTAGCAACCACACTGGTAAGGTTGAGTATCTCCTACACAATATAAAACCAAAATTATATAGAGTCCGTATTGTTGTCATCATAGCAGACACCATGATATAATTTCTTCTCTCCAAGCTATAAAACAAAAAAATTATGTTAAAATTCTTGATGACTTGAGTGGTTTATTATTTTACAGTACTGGGAATCAAAATACCTATTTCACCAATAAATACAGGTAAAACGTAAAATTAAATGGTAGTGATATTAGGAAGTGGGGTTTTATGGCACGGTTGTTAGCAACAATATGGGATGAAATTTATCTAACAGAAGGAAGTATGTAGGTTTCATATAGAATTATTACATCATTTTTATCATTGTCAACTATTCAATCCAAATCTAACGAAGATTCAATAAAACATGGTGTTTATTCGACTAGACCAGGGGTTCTCAACCTTTTTTCTGCAAAATACCCCCCCGAGGCACGAAACAATCAACGTGAACCCCCAGTAATGTGACACTGAACAAAGTTGTGATATATCGATTAACAATTTGTTGAAACAACAATTTATTGACCAGATAAAACTAAATTTAATTTCCCTGTTACTAATATTGCCCTAACTAATAAATTCTTGAAATCCCTTTCAAGTTCCAATAAGGATATCACTTTCTCCAGTGCTCGCAGCACGCTGTATTTTCTGTGAATTTCACATTGTTTACGTCACAATCACAACAACGCAAGATCAGGGAAAATCTATGTTTCAATTGGCATCCAGTTTCAATCGGCACGCATTTTCCTCTGGTAGTAATAAAGGATATTAAAAACAGCAACACGCAAAAACTCGACTGCCATCCAAGTACCTCCTGAAATCTTTTCGCGAACCCCAGGTTGAGAACCCCTCGACTAAAGACTGCTTGGTCCATCCCTGATTTGTATACATCGCAGATCACTTCATTATCAAAAACTCATTAAGTTAGGAAACAAATGGAATGGGCCAATTTTTATATTCTATTCTGTTTTTACTTATTGTTGCCTATGTATGTCCTGCTATAAAGCTCAGTACAAACAATACGTCAAACTCACATTGAGGTACGTAGAATCTGAATAAATCTTCGAGCAATCATAATACTACACTTGCCAATTCCACGTCATTCTATTGTTTTATGTACGCGATGTTTTGGAGAAGCAAAATCAATAACATGGAAACTGCGACACCTGTTTGCATGTCGTTACGACGTGAGCACCTGAGATTATGTTATTTGTTAAAGCCATACTGAACAATTTTTTATCATGTGATACAATTAATACATATTAGGCATTACATGTATTTCTTTACAATGCTTAGTGATTGAGGCAATATTTAAAAATGAAACCAATAGTGGCAAAAAATTCACATCTTACACTTTTATAAAAAAAAGAGTGCTCAATAGGGAACACCATTTGCAAAAAACATCTTGCGAGAACATCTCTTGACAATGAAATTTTTCCAAATACAGCATAAAAATAGCAAATAGTCAAGAAAAATTGTGAAAGAACTTGCAAATGTTATTTTAGGAAAACAAATGTACAAAATTCAGACTTGACTATTAGACACAATCTTGACTGGAACAAAAAAATTTAACCATGGAGATTGTATTCAGGTCTCATCTGTACAGTTATTGTTACAATGATGTGATCAAGGCAAATGATACCAAATCTTACCATTATACTATTCCATCTATTTTAGTATTTAATCTTTGTAGTGGAATCTCGTTCGGAATATAGTTCTCGGAAAAACTTTTTCGCTTGATTCCTGTTTTCATTATCAATTTTACAAACCCTGAAAGCAGATCCAATTATGTATGTAGTTGTAATCATCACAAGAATATAATACAAATATGTTATGCATGCTTCAGGTGGATATAAAAATATAAGGAATATTAATAAGTATTTCTAGCTTTGTCACAACCGTAAAACATTGCAGAACAATCTCAAAAACAAATATATACTTAAATCTCCACTCAAACCATTTGAATGACTAACGAATATAAAAGTGTGAATCAAAGCTTCCCCCAAAACCAGTCTCAAATGAAAAATCCAGTGCGCCAGCTAATGTTATCTAATAAATAATATACATTGTAATATTAGGCTAAAATGTATAGTCTGATATGAGTATTACTTATAAATAGTTTGAGTAAGATAAGCTTGAAATATTTTTCCCAACCTGGTAAATGTAAACTACAAATTAGCTTTCATATTCATAATCTATGATCAAATTGATATGATACCAGCTTCTTACAGCCTAATTCTTGTATACATTCCTCAGTTATCGTATAGTATCTGTTTCACTGCGATCATTACTCATATCAGCATATATACTGAACAAAAAACATTAATTCCCCAAAAAGTGAAACAAATCTTATGGTACTATTGTTGTAAAGTAACCATCATTACAAACCTGTTATAAGAAATAAAAACTATGACTATTCCACTTCCGACAACATTCAGACATTGCGTCCCCGAATCACCTCGCTGTATGAATCCACTTTTTAAACTGCACTTCCCGTCAACCATTTTCAAAGTATTTACTTTTCAGACAGTCAAACATGATTTCATACTATTATGGTTACCTGTAACTTGAAGATCTTTACTAACCTGTTGAAAACCATGAAAAAAAAAAAATACAAAATCATCTCCATAACAGAAATCAAGTATGGCTCCATATACAGATATACCATGTTTCCCCAAAAATAAGACTGGGTCTCATTTCAATTTTCTTCCGAAAAATAACACTAGGGCTTATTTTCGGGGGATATCTTATATTTTTATTTATTAAAAACAAACTTAAAAAGTAGAGAATTACGAGATTTTCAAATATACAAACTATGAACCTATATATATTATAACCTATATATGAACCTCGGTTAAATGTGATTCAAGCGAATTCTTTTCACTAATAAGGTTTGCCTGTACCTTCAAGATCATCACTAACCTGTTAAACACACAAAAAATAAGACTAATCCACACCTCATAACAGAATTTGAGTGTGGCTCCATTTTCTATCCTGTATTTCCAGTCAATAAATTCTCGGTTAAATGTGATTCAAGCGTATTCTTTTCGCTAATTAGGTTTGCCTGTACCTTCAAGATCATCACTAACCTGTTAAACACACAAAAAATAAGACTAATCCACTTCTAAAAACGAATTTGAGTGTGGCTCCATATTACTGAACTGCTCTAGTCTGTGGCTCCATTTTCTATCCTGTATTTCCAGGCAATAAATTCTCGATTAAATGCGATTCAAGCGTATTCTTTTCACTAATTAGGTTTGCCTGTACCTTCAAGATCATCACTAACCTGTTAAACACACAAAAAATAAGACTAATCCACTTCTCAAAACGAATTTGAGTGTGGCTCCATACCGGTATTACTGAACAGCTCTAGTCTGTGGCTCCATTTTCTATCCTGTATTTCCAGGCAATAAATTCTCGGTTAAATGTGATTCAAGCGTATTCTTTTCACTAATTAGGTTTGCCTGTACCTTCAAGATCATCACTAACCTGTTAAACACACAAAAAATAAGACTAATCCACATCTCAAAACGAATTTGAGTGTGGCTCTATATTACTGAACTGCTCTAGTCTGTGGCTTCATTTTCTATCATGTATTTCCAGGCAGTAAATTCTCGGTTAAATGTGATTCAAGCGTATTCTTTTCACTAATTAGGTTTGCCTGTACCTTCAAGATCATCACTAACCTGTTAAACACACAAAGAATAAGACTAATCCACTTCTCAAAACGAATTTGAGTGTGGCTCCATAATACTGAACTGCTCAAGTCTGTGGCTCCATTTTCTATTCAGTATTTCCAGGCAATAAATTCTCGGTTAAATGTGATTCAAGCGTATTATTTTCACTAATAAGGTTTGTCTGTACCTTCAAGATCATTACTAACCCGTTGAACACACAAAAAATAGGACTAATCCACTTTTCATACCAGAATTTGAGTGTGGCTCCGTATCACTGCATAGCACCATGGCCTGGCCTGGCCCCGATTTCTCCGTGGCCCGGCCTCAATTTCTCTGTGGCCCGGCCCCAATTTCTCCGTGGCCTGGCCCCAATTTCTCCGTGGCCTGGCCCCATTTCAGTGGCCTGGCCCCAAAGCCACAAAAAAGTGATCACTCCCTCTCAGTCTGTGGCTCCATTTTCTATCCTGTATTTCCAGGCAATAAATTCTCGGTTAAATGCGATTCAAGCGTATTCTTTTCACTAATTAGGTTTGCCTGTACCTTCAAGATCATCACTAACCTGTTAAACACACAAAAAATAAGACTAATCCACTTCTCAAAACGAATTTGAGTGTGGCTCCATACCGGTATTACTGAACAGCTCTAGTCTGTGGCTCCATTTTCTATCCTGTATTTCCAGGCAATAAATTCTCGGTTAAATGTGATTCAAGCGTATTCTTTTCACTAATTAGGTTTGCCTGTACCTTCAAGATCATCACTAACCTGTTAAACACACAAAAAATAAGACTAATCCACATCTCAAAACGAATTTGAGTGTGGCTCTATATTACTGAACTGCTCTAGTCTGTGGCTCCATTTTCTATCATGTATTTCCAGGCAGTAAATTCTCGGTTAAATGTGATTCAAGCGTATTCTTTTCACTAATTAGGTTTGCCTGTACCTTCAAGATCATCACTAACCTGTTAAACACACAAAGAATAAGACTAATCCACTTCTCAAAACGAATTTGAGTGTGGCTCCATTTTCTATCCAGTATTTCCAGGCAATAAATTCTCGGTTAAATGTGATTCAAGCGTATTATTTTCACTAATAAGGTTTGTCTGTACCTTCAAGATCATTACTAACCCGTTGAACACACAAAAAAATAGGACTAATCCACTTTTCATACCAGAATTTGAGTGTGGCTCCGTATCACTGCATAGCACCATGGCCTGGCCTGGCCCCGATTTCTCCGTGGCCCGGCCTCAATTTCTCTGTGGCCCGGCCCCAATTTCTCCGTGGCCTGGCCCCAATTTCTCCGTGGCCTGGCCCCATTTCAGTGGCCTGGCCCCAAAGCCACAAAAAAGTGATCACTCCCTCTCAGAAATGTGGTGGATAAGTCTGAAAGTGTTGCAATGTAAATTCCCAGACTGTGAATGAGGCTCAAATTAATAAATTAATGTACGCGGGTTACGGTATTTGCTTTATATTTATAGTATTGCAGTATTGGAAATATTTTTATGAAACGGTACCGGTACAATTTTGCAACAACTTCAATTTTTCTGACAAGGATTTCGCTTTTTAAGTCAGACATTTTTTAAAACATTCAGTATAGTTTAGCAATATTCATGGTACCGGTATGGCCTGATAGCGATACTGGTAGACAATATTTTCGACGTGTTCGGATTTTTAAACACTTTGTCAAGTTTATGTTTACCCATCAATATTGAAATTAAGGTCTGAAGGTTAGAAAATTCATATTTTAGTATCTAATATTTCTATTGTCATCCCAGATTTCCCTGAATGAAGGATCTTCTACTAGTCTAGCAAAGCCAAAGAAAATGCCGTAATGTCAACTGATTCAAATAATACAGTAATACCAAACAAAAATGCTGTAATGTTAACTGTTTAAATAACGCCAACAAAAAGGTGCTGTGAAAAAACAGTTGAAATTTCAATTTATTTTTTAAAATGAAAGTCTGTATTGAGCAGAACGCTATATCGTATTTGGCATGAGACATACCTTCTTATTTGTAGGTATCTTAAAATTGAATAGGTTTGATTTTAATTAAACTCGTCTGTCAAGAATTTAATTTTGCGCCAGACAAAGTTTTTTGAAAAAAAAATGTAAAATTTTACATCACATTTTTTTGGCGTTATTTAAACAGTTACGAAGTTCACTTTGCGTGCAGTCTTACTACTTACTGAATAGAGCGCGAAACAGCGCAGAAGAGAAGGAAAGAGCGCAGAAGAGATGAAAACATTTTTATTTCATTATTCATTAGCGTCTATGAAATTTTAAACAGTTTGATGGGAAGCAGCATACAGTAGTAGGGAATGATCACGAGTTTACACAGTATGTGTACCAGGTTAGGGTGCATCATGACTCATGAAGTATGTGCATCAAGATGGCGCACAACCTGAACACAGTATGTGTACCAGGTTAGGGTGCGTCATGAAGTATGTACACCAAGATGACGCACAACCTGAACACAGTATGTGTACCAGGTTGGGTGCATCATGTTTGGTTATTTAAAGATGTTGAAGATTACTGATATAAACTCATCATCATTCCCTACCACTGTATACTGTTTCCCATGAAATTGTTTAATATTTCACGGACACTAATAAATCATGAAAGAAAAATGTTTTCATCTCTTCTGCGCTCTTTCCCTCTCTACTGCACTCTTCGCGCTCTATTCAGTAAGTAGTAAGACCCCTTCGCGAGACCCCTTTTACCAGTAGTCCAATAGAAGTGACTTTTTTCTCCATTATACAAGAAATTATTGTATCCTACTTTGATTTCTTTAAGCATATAGATTGATTGGTAGAAACTAGTAAATACTGAAATATTTCTTGTACTGTTTTTGAAATTTCTTTCCTAATTTTTTCTTGACTCCTAGACATGAGGTAGTTTTTATGTTCAACCTCCATTCTGTCATTGCATTAATACTGTACGGAGCAATACAGTTGCCTATATGGCTACACATTCGTAGATGTGCGGTTATGTGATAAATTTTTTTAATCCTCCTCATTTCTAGTTAACTTGTGACCTAATAAAAATGATGACGCTCCTTATAGGTCTGATTTTCACACACTTAACACTTTTAACATTTTTATTAATTCATATTGACAAATCATGAATGATCATATTTATAAAGGCAGAAATATTAGAAATAGATATAATTTGGTCGTAAATATATGGCCTAAAATGCAGCATTTTCTTTACGATATGGTATATAGACTGTTAAGATATTTTTAATAAAAATAAACAATATCAGAATATAGTATGCTGGTATATTGGATTACCAAGCTTTGCATTTCTAATTAAAGATTTATGGTTGAAATTAATATATTATCACATCCCTGCATCCAGGGCAAAAATTATTTTTGTTCTTATGTTAATTGCTATTCTTCCATATTCACATCTGTATTTCATGTAAAACAGAATTAGGTTAGTCTTCCTAAGTTTCAAACATCAGTTTTTTCTTTCTTATTTTTCAAAATGGCCGAGCAAAGTGCATGGAAAAATTTTATTGCTGGAGGAGTTGGCGGCGTTTGTGCTGTAGCCAGTGGTCATCCTCTTGATACCATTAAAGTTCGTCTTCAAACTATGCCTGCTCCCAAGCCTGGTGAAGCAGCATTGTACAGAGGTACTTGGGACTGTTTTATCAAGACTGTTAAGAATGAAGGCCCTAAAGGATTATATAAGGGAATGGGTGCTCCCATCGTCGGCGTTACTCCAATCTTTGCTCTTAGTTTTTTTGGCTTTGGTGTTGGAAAAGATCTTGTTCGTTCAGTAACAGGAGACCAGTCTGAAAAACTTTCACTGTCGAAGCTTTTCGTTTCTGGAGGAGTCGCTGGTGTATTAACCACTGTCATAATGGCACCAGGTGAAAGAATTAAATGCCTCTTACAAATCCAACAAGGATCAGGAGAGATTAAATACAAAGGACCAGTTGATTGTGCAAAAAAGCTGTACCAAACTGGTGGTATTAGGAGTATTTACAGGGGAACGATTCTTACTCTCTGCAGAGATGTACCAGCAAGTGGTATGTATTTTGCCAGCTATGAATGGCTTAAGAACGTTCTTACTCCAGCTGGTAAAGACCCCTCTGAACTGAGTGTAGGAAGTGTGCTTTTTGCTGGTGGAATGGCTGGGATTTTCAATTGGGCTGTTGCTATACCACCTGATGTCTTGAAGTCGAAATTTCAGACCGCACCTGATGGAAAGTACTCTGGTGTAATGTCTGTTGTTAAAGATGTGATGCGTACTGATGGTTTCAAAGGAATGTATAAAGGTTTTGTACCTGTTATGTTAAGAGCATTCCCAGCTAATGCTTGCTGTTTTATGGGTTACGAACTTGCACTAAAATTCCTGAATAAACTTGTACCCCCGTCCTAATAAGTAATTATTATCTCATTGAATTGATATATTATTCTTTGTCAGATTCAACAGTTATTTTTTCAATTATAATGCAAAAACTTCGTTTCAACTATCTTTCAAAAGATTAATATTCTGAGGTGTCTTATATTTTTGAATGTTCTGCATGTTCCACGGATCAGAAAAAAATATGATTTGAGTCGTATGATTTTGATATATTTCCTATTTCAACTATGACCTTCATGGCTGAGATAATTTATGTTTAGTTATACACTAGGCAAGGCCATAAAAGTAGTCAAGTTTTCCTCATGTGTACTCTTCAATTACAGGAATGTGCAAAAATTGAAATTGGTGTACTTTGCAGCAAAATTATGTTATATAGCAAAATACCTACCTAAATGATAATTTTGCTGTTGGAAATGCAAATTTTATACAAAAAAATTTTCAGAAATCAATATAGAATTAATTTGAATTTTGAACACCATTTTGAACTGTTACATCTGTAACTGTTCTGTTATCAATGTTAGATACTCTCATTCTCTCACTTTTTTTGTGTACTTTGTACTAAAAGTATTTCAATACGTTTACTAATTTGATAGGAGGTTATTATGCATTCAAATTTAGGTTTATGCTTTTTTAGGAAATTTTTTATTAATTTATTTTCTTAATTAAATGCATATATACATAGCATTTATATGACAATACCAAAAGTGCTATCATCATAAGTTACGGTTGATTTCAAGTTTGTTCATTTTGCAAAAGTAGAATTTCATTCTTAGAATTGATGGTTATGTGTCATTGCAAACTTCTGTCTTCTCAATATAGAGCTCGAGAAAAAGTTTGAACTAGATAACTGTATAAAAGATTATTTTTTGTGTTAAAGTCTTCTGCGATATTTGATTGGTTCATGTCATTATTATACTCACAGTTATGGACTTTTGTAAGGAACTGAAACATATAATAATGGAGCTTTAGTAAAATTGTACATCATATATAGGTTATAGCCTATTGATGAACTCATGGAATATTAGAAAGAGGTATTTAGCATACCAGCCGATCTAACACCTTAAAATATTTCGCACTGCTTCTCTTTCCTAAATTGCTGAACTTTTGACAGTCTTATGTCTTTAATTTAATTAATAAGTGTTAATGACTGTGATGATGAACCTATTGGTGGTAATTCAAGTTGATTTTGTTGCAGATTGAGCACGCATTGTTTCTAGCACAGTGAATGTGTGTTCGCAAATAACTAGACTAGATTATTTAAAATGACGAAAGATAAGCATGAGAAAACCAACTCAGTTACGCAGGGATGGCTTCTAACTTACAACATAGCAATGATGGCAGGGTGAGAATGCTGTATTTTGTCTATATTACTAGGAATTTGAACTTGCTCAGCAGGATATTTTATAGGCTTTTCCCATCATTATTTCTAAGGCTAAATATAAATAGAATGTTTATTCATTGTTTCGTCATAATTAATTTGAGATTTTCATTTCAAACAAAGTTATTTATCTAACTAAATGATTTTTTTCATTTCTTGCCATTGTTGTAAACGGCTTGTCTGAGGAAGTCTGACTTTGGTCGAGTGAAATGTAACCGAAATATATTTGTGTTAGCGTGCAGCAAGACTCTTTAATTGGATAGAGTACTACCGATTATGGTTGCATGTTGGCGAAGGACCAAGTTTTGTGTTTCAGTAATAATAAATATTAAAAATTATAGTATTTCAATGTGTGATTTCTAGATACACACATACATATAACCACACATAATAATGGTAGAGCTCTAATAATTTATATTAATTCTATGCTAGTAATTAGATTGTATTCTTGAGCAATGCACGATTAATCTAGTGAAATTGTGATTCATTAAAAAATTATCATCAATGACAATTTTTCTCACATCTGTCTAAATATCCTTCAAAATGAGTATTTCAATATTTATATGAAACTGTCATATTATCAGTCTTATATGTGATTTAAATCTTTATGTAGTAATTGTGTAAAACATATGTCTGAGCAAGCATCATTTTATAATTTTCAGATGGCTGGCAATTGGTATCGGGATGTTTATGCATGTATGGAAACACAGAACAATAAAAGGTCTCTACATACAAATGCAAAGACAATTGTTGTTTTTCCAAACATGTGCATTATTTGAGGTATGTATGTTATTTCGCATTTGTTCTAATTACGATACATGTTTCCTTATTATATCGATTTGATGGATAGTTAAATTAATGTGTTGTTGCCGATATAAAGAGCTGTCAAATATACCATTTTGATAAATAGATATGTAGTTTAATGTTGAACTTGAAAAATTTTCCTCCGTCATTATTTGTATGATCTGTATATATATGACATGGAAATTTTAATTTTTTTTGTACCAGATTTTGCATGCAGCAATAGGAATAGTACGAAGCAATGTCATCCTTACAACAGTTCAGGTGTTTTCAAGAGTTGGACTTTTGTGGATGATCGTTGAACCAGTTTATCAGGTACTACTCAGCATCATTCATTGAATGTTTCCTAATCAACTTAGTGTGACAATCAGATGTTTACTTTGTGATAGTGCCAACGTAGTATTCCACAACAAGCAATATTTCAATTAACTATATTTTCTTTTGAAATATGAAGCATTAAAGGACTCAGCCTACTTCAATTAAAATAACATACCACAATTCATGTCATTAACGTATAACTTCAGCCGAAATATATAATTTTCGAAGCACCATAAAATAGAATCATATTTTTGCTGATCTTGTCCTGAATCGGGATTTGCAAATCTAAATTTATATGATGACTACGTTTCTTTACAGGTTCAAGATTCAATTAGTGTTGCAATGTTCATGGTGGCATGGACAATTACCGAAATTATTCGTTATGGCTTTTACACATTCCATCTTCTCGGATCATCTCCATTTCCTATCGTGTGGCTCAGGTGAGATTTTCTGTCAATATTTGCTCTTTTTCACTAGAACAACAGCTTACCGTAAAATTGAAAACAAGAGAGCATAGACAAGTTTAAATATGTTTCATGGTTCTTGTCCAACAAACAGAATAAATACACATTGTTGGATTTTAACTTCTTGATCTTGCCATCCCAATCTATTTGAACCATGTACAGTAATTGAATTATCTAAGCTTTTGTTTCAATACTAATTTAGCAAACGAAGATCTGAAATATTCTTTTTAATAAAGCTCAAATTCTAACGTCATACATACATGAACTAAAAAATATTTCATGTGTATTTCAGATACACTCTCTTCATTGTTCTTTACCCATTGGGAGTAACGGTGAGTAATTATATTTCTTCTGGTATAATTTTCTCTTCAACCAAAATGGCAAGCAAGTCACGTTTACTTTCTTAAATGGGCGGTAACTAGATAAAAACATGCAAAATTACTAACATCGCCTGTGCAAAGATATTGAAGTAGTGTTGCTAACCTTATTAGAAATATAGTGTATACATGAATACACATCAGATTCAGGAGATATCGTAAATTCAAATCTCTTTTGCAGGGTGAACTCCTAACAATTTACAAGTCTCTACCTTTCGTAGCAGATGGAAATATATACTCAGTATCAATGCCAAATGCAGCAAACTTCTCATTCAGTTATTATTATGCACTCATTGGATTGTTTCCAATATATTTTACAGGTAATGCAAGGATGCCATTTATTATTAGTATTTTCTTGAATATCCATGCAATCAATTTTTTTTAAGCCAGTTATATATGTTAATGTCATACTTCACCCAGTGTCTGTCATGAATTAATAAATCAAGGATAAGATTGTGACCATTCCACTCCAACCCTGGTGGTCGATTTCATGAAGTTACAATGAGGGCTTCAGATTCAGAGTCACAAGAAAACGAGAGAATATAACGTTGTATATGGCGTAACTTTCTGGATTTCATTTTGCGTGTCTTGGATGACAGTCCGTAAACTTAGGTCATTGTGACTTGACTTTTGGATGACTAATTCCGGAATTACATATTAGTAAATTATCGAGCCATGCCCACTCACTATAAGTAGCGCTCTAAACTATAGCTTACAAAAAGAGATGGAATCACAGACATTCAATGATGATAAAAGAAGTCAAATAGCATTCTGCATCCAAATTTTTCCGGACTCTGCAGCCATGGCCATAACAGTTCTACTTAATTCTCAGTTGCTTTATATCTAAGAAACATTACCATTATTACTTTCATTTGCACAGGTTTCCACAATTATACTTCCACATGTTTGGACAAAGGAAAAAAGCTTTGTCTGCAGACAAAATGAAGAAAGAAAATTAATCTTGTGATGGAACAGTTTTCATTCAAATTGTTTTAGTTCGCACCTAATTTATACCCTCGCAATCTCTACAAAAACCTCCTTGTTTTTACAGCATTTCAAAAACTTATCCGACTGTGATTCGATCCATTTCATATTATTCATTGATTTTGTACGATTTGTGTTAGTTTTATAATAAGAGGGTTCACTCAATATTAATAAATATGCAAATCACACTTCTTGGGTCATGGTTTGTTTCTAAGTGAAGGATTTGATATTCTATTAGGACTTTAAAAGGGAGTAAAAACAATATAAAACAGCTTTCAGGACGATAATGTGCGCGCACAAGACATTGGATGTGTGGCATTTGGTTATGGAGTATTTATTTATATGTGTTACGCGGACTGCTTGTGTAATAATAGCATTCATTTGTCATAGTGTGCACACCACTCACAGGTTATGGAATAGTCTAGCTAGGTTAATGACACAAACGAAAAAGGTTGAGGGACAAACAATGCTACTGTCTTCATCAACCTTGTTTCTTCTACCTTTCATGAGAGCGTCTTTAATTGACATTTCACACAAATGCATTCATGGTTTGCTTGAAACATACTTTATTCAAACATCATAATGATACTAGGCTCCTGATAAAAAGAATATAGGTTTGGTATGTCAAAATGCTTGAGCACTTTTGGGGGGTTGAACATTTAAGATAAATTAGCGCCTATCAAGTATTTGATTTCATAGATGGCATTGGAATTCAGTCCTATATAAAATTTTGATTTGGGGTTGTTATCATTTTATAATTCATCATGTGGAGTTCCATCTTTTTCAGCTTGAAGAAAAATAATGAAATCATTTGCAGTCATTCCGTCAAAACTTCTTTGAAGTTCTCCATTCTTGAAGTATTTGAAAGATGGAAATTCTTTGATCTTCAATTTGTAGCATATAACTGAAAATAAATAAGTAACATATTGCTTATTATAGACAGTTGTTTTGCAAGAGATATTTTGTGTAACTGCTTTATTACCAGTAAGGTTTAGCATGCCTATGGTCATAATTTTATCATTATGCACTGTGATGACAATATATTTTTAGAACTTGAACATGACCATTCTTAAGATAGAAAAATATTTCCATATTTATCCCTTCAAGAACAGCAGCTTGATTTTATGGTACCAGTGAACTATTTTTTATTGGTTACCATTACAACTCATGCATGATAATATGAGTGTAATGCTGGGCATTTCACTTGTGCATAACATGATGCACCAATTGTTTGTAATCAATGTTTTTTGGCACTTCCTTTATGTTTTTCAACCCCCTCAAAGGACTTTGACCCATTCTGTTTTTAACAACTTCTGAAATTTTTTGTATGGGATGCAAGGTAAAACTAGGTGACTTAGGCCTAAGATGCACTGAACAAATTATTGGGTATGTAAGTTTCGGACATCTTATTTCTGATGTCCATCTTATTGGAACTTAGGCTTATACTGTTCTTAACTTCTACAAAATATTATAGTCCCAAGTCCAGCTAAAATTTTTATCATTGAGAAATTCGGGATCTCAAGACCACCATCTCGTAGAGTAGAGCTTGGCTCAAAACCCCAAAATAATGAAAAAAGCGAAATTCCAAAAAATGTGACTTAGGCCCCTTCTGTTCTCATCCAGCGATTTGTTATCACTTTTCCGTGGTATTTAGAGAGTTCTGGGCAACCAACTTCTCAGAATTACACAGACATAACATACTTCCTTGCTCTGGTTTCCTGTGACAATCAATAGCTCCCATTCCTATTTCATTGGACAAATTTTCCGATGCTTCACGAAAGACTTCTCTCAGTCCTAAGCAGCGTGAATACCATGGTGAATGAAACATTATCATTGCAATTGGCTGTGAAATAAAGATTTTGTAAGCAGAATAATACATAGAGTTGGACTGGATAATTCGTATATATCTTCATTTTGAGGCAAGTCTTGGAAACAGTGTTGTGAATTTACATTCGCCTCCAACCTCTGGGTTGAATAAAAAAGTTTAGTTGTGACTCCGAAATTCTGTCTGATAAATTTGGACACAGCTCTCGTTAATTTTTTAATTGCTATCATGGTTAACTGGTATTTGATCATTTCAAAAATAATCACCAATCAAATGATTAATATAGTGATATACCTAGCCAACATAAAACTAATTGAAGCATCTTACATGCTCTTTCAAAAATGCATCATAAGTATGGTTATCCAAATGTTCGACATTTCCGTAGTTAGCAGATGGTAAATCTTGCCAAGATATTGGTTTTCTTCTTTTTGCTAGTTCTTTTGATGGTCTAAAATAATGTAAGTTTTGCTGTCAACTTTTTTCTGAGATAGACAAGCCTTAAATTATATGACAAATGAGTCGAATGACACATAACATAGCCTACTTTTTAAGAAACTTCACCAAAGATGCAGAATCATATGGCCCTTCATATTTGTATTGCATTTTTCCATTCCTGAATTAAAAAACAATTGCATTATTAAATTTCATAAATATAGAATAAGGAACAGCAACCTGAACAGAAGTATGAGATATATCTTGGGGATAAAATATAGATAAATACAACAAAAACCTCTTCAGCTAGGAGGACAAGATACAATTATGAAAATTGCATATTAGATAATTGTTTCATATGAGCAAACATGATAGCATTTATCGCCCTGAAGATCAGTCACAAGACTTGAACGCCGGGTAATTATTGATGCAACAGTGACATTGTCAGCTAACACACAACAGGCCAACAACTATAAGTTCCAATCATTCTTCCAGATCTACAGAATCAAATTTACTTCGACTACTTCTTGGATGTTTAATACGCAAATAAACTCTGAAATTTTTATTTTAAGAATGTGATCATTCTTAAATATAATTTACAGAAAATACACTCACATGAAATATAGGAATGTGGGAAATGAATTGACATTGAGCTTAGAAGTTATTGATTTCTCCCAATCACCATTGATGGCTACAAGCAGAACATCTGGTGATTCATTTGCCAGCACTTCTGCTGCCTCAACATACTTTGGCTTCACAGTATCAATGCAATATTGACATGCTGAGAATAAATTTTATGTTATTTCAAAGACGATAACCGTTATTGTTATTATAAGCTTAGCATGAACATCACCATTAATATAGAAGAAAACAATTGCAGTTTTGTGCTGCTTGAGAGTTTTGTCAAAATTATCCCTGTTAAGATGAACAACTTTATCCTTTTCTGCAATCCAGCTCGATGGATCATGTTTGGTATCTGCTCCCTCTATTTCATGCGGGCTGCGAATACAATAAATAGCAGAACCTTTTATAGGGAAGTTAGAATACATTACATACATCACAACTACCGTCAATTTATATTTAACTTTCTCTATTTCATAATAACCAACATCACCACCAAATAATCATTCAGAAAAAAATGAGGTATACACAATTGTAAGGATGTAGTCCAAGGGTGTACAACCTTTAATGCAGGAGGTCCAGATATAAATAACTGGGCAAAACCGCAGGCCGCCCCTTTATTTAACATAGGCTTTCTAATAGCTGCATGCACAAAAATTTTGGTTATTGATCCTATGACATGCGTTGTTCGCTTCACATAAGCTAGCTGTTAGGGCATTGTAACGTCCATAGACATAGAAAATAAATTTGACTCATGTATAGGCTTTGCATTGCACAGGGATTGGAATTACTCGAATGTAACAGATTATACTGAATTGAAAATTCGTTCCACAGGCCGAATATCATTCAAAATTGGCACTTCTTCATGGGCTGCACATTTTTTCCTTGTGGGTCGCAGGTTGCACAGCCCAGATGTAGACAATTAGTAGGGAGAATAAAAAATTCAAAATACTCGGCCATGAAGTCTGTTAATGCTTCTTTCGTAATTTCTCCATTATATTTGTATTGTTTCTCTCCATTACTGAAATACCATAAAGTTGGATAACCCTATGAACAGAGAGAAATTTCTCAATGAGTAAAACATAAAAATGACATACCATTCTAATAATTATATTCCAAGTATGGTGTATCATTAGTTACGGTAGTTCATTAGGTGAACATGAAAACGTTTAAATCCAATCCACACAATGATGGTCAAGATCTTTCTTAATGTTAGTTATAATTTCTCAAAGCACCTATGTGCTCCGCCTAATGTGCAAATGTAAAACATTTTAAATTCACAAGTGAACTTATCAAGGGTGAACTTGCTGCTCATCATAAAAATCTACTCTGTACCTTAACATCAAATTCATCTGCAAATTTTTTATGTTTATAGGCATCGAAAATAGCCATGCTGGAATCTTCCAAATCTTCGTATATATCAACTGCTGCTTCAAAATATGGTGTTTTAGAGTTTTTACAAGATCCACACCCTAAAAAGAATTTAAATATTGGAATGAGTTTAGAATGGGATATTAAAATGTTATAGAAGTAAATAAATCAATGAATTGTTTACAAACACTTGCATAGAAAATAAGGTATATATTAGAAATCATCCATACAGGAGTTAAAAATAATATTCATTTTTCTAGGATAAAATTACAATTTTAAAAGAAACAGTGAATTAATTGGCATGTTTAAATTATTAGCATGTGGGAAAATGGAAATCAAAATAAATAACACCTAAAATATAATTCGATTTTTGTATACTTTCATACCTTATTGAGAACAAATAGAATATAGCAAATACCGCTATTCAGCCAACTTACATGGTGCATAAAACATCACCATAACATTATCATGCTCATCCAAATATTTCTGGAAATTTTCTGGATCAAGAAATTCCACCTCATATGGTCTTGTTGAATTTATTAAATCAATTTCAACAGGTTTTGTCTGTTGATCCTCACTTGTTGATCTGACAAAATATTATATAATAAATAAATATTAGACGAGAGCCATTGACCTTGATATAAGCAAACTTTCATAAACACTTATGAAGCGCTTACCCAATCATAAAATCCACAACAGCATTAGCTATTCTCTTCCCTTTGTAATGTGAAACATACTCATGATTCCTGAAAGAAATATGATTGACAGTGAAATTGAGCATAAAGTAATTGAAATTGTTATCCAAAAACACCGCCCTTGTTTAAACCTTAAACACATTAAATATTGTTGATACCAACATCCACTAGCTATATGCATACTTACATAAAGTAGACTAAAGTCGGAAAGCCTTTGACATCATATTTGGAGTTAATCTTGTTGTTATTATTGCCATTGAATGCTGCTAGCTTTGCATCTGTAGTTTTAGTAGCAAGAATGTTGGCTGCTTTTTTAAATGCTGGCTTGAATTGTTTGCAATGGCCACACCCTGCAAAGTATGGTATGTTATTTCTATAGTTAATTCTATAATGTGTATGATAAAGTATATTATATTTGTTATATAAATTAAAGATTTATTACAAACACTTCATATGAAACTTACATGGAGCGTAAAACATGACAAGTACGTTATTATGCTTTGAGATAAATTCTGAAAGTGTGTTTTTGTCCAATAATGTCACATTTGTTTCTTCACCAAACCATTCATCATCAACTTTTGGTTTTGGAATAAAGGAAGGCCTGGAATTAATACACAAATATATATTTATGCATCAATTGTGTCACAACATTTCTGTATTTACCACTAGTTGAAATTAGAATGCATATAATTTAGTTATTTTAGTGCAGTTTACACCATAATATCAAATGTTATTTTCAACTCAACATACTGGTATTTAGATAAACACTGGTCATTTGGAATCATCTTTAGCAATAGCTAGTTATGGTTAAACTAAATCTATTTATTGGTTAATATAAAGTATTTTTCGAAATACTTACTTGAGCATAAAATCTACAAGTGCTTCAGCTGTTTGTTGGCCATGATATTCAAATTTCAATTTCTCATGTTTGAAATACAAAAATTTTGGCGGGGAATCAATTTCATACTTCTTTTTTAAAGTGAGAGCTGATGAAACAAAAATTCAAGTATTAAATTTATTGTAATATGTAATACATTGTATGATTATTTTCCATAATCATGTTAAAGGCAAATCATGAGTTCTGCTTTATTATTGATCGAGATGTTGAGTTTATATTCCAGTATCATAAATATTTCATTTTACAATTTGAATGAAACAATATTGCTTCAAACATCATTTTGTAAATTACTATATTTAACTTGTGCATACGAAGATAACTATTATGAAATGAAAAATTTTGTGCGTATATAAACTATACTACTCAGAAAATAATAACATTTAGAGAAAAAAATAAACATGTTCAATGTGACTTACCTTTTCTAACATTCACTGCGCCAAGAGCTACTTCGGGTTTCAGTTCATCAAGTAAAGTTGCTGCTTCTTCATACTTAGGTTTGATTTGGTTACATGCTTTGCATCCTGCGAGAAATGAAGCATCTCAGATCAGTAAACACAATACACATACTGTATAGGCATATGAACAAACTCACTATTTGCATACACAGATTAGAAACAATTACTTCACTGTACAAAAACATGTAAGTATATCAAAATCTACCTGGCGAATAAAAATATACCAATGACTCTTCGTGTTCTCGGAGAAATTCTTCAAATATTTCATCATTCAAATGAATGATGTCTTCTGAACTTTCTTGCGTGGACCATTCAGGACCTTGAGCTTTTATTTCTCTAAATGTAGAAGAAGCTGCTTCATCAATTGCACTGAAATACCAGAAAATAGATCAATGATTTACAATCAATGAGTTCTGGATTCTCGAAATAAGACTTACCGTATATCAGTACATGAAAGCTTTAGAAAAATTGTGTGGATATTTTTTTAATACTCCATATGAAGAAAATAAGCAACTAGTTTGATCAGAAAAAGCTATTTTGCGTCTGATTCTTATTACCAAAAACCAGCAAAACATACTCAGAAATGAATTTCATGATTCCTTCCATCGAACGAACTCCCTCATATTCAACCTGTCTTTGTCCATTAGCAAACCAAAATATGGTAGGCACACCCATGTCCACAGACCATAAATGAGGAATATCTTCATCAGATAAATCCTGTTCCACGACACCAATTTCTACTTTCATCTGTGATAGCAATAATGATATTTCATATTTTTTACCATATTTGTTTGTGGATATCCATAAACAAAATTTATGAAAATAGTGAAAAGAATGAAATAGGAGATCAGCACACCTTTCCTTTTTTCAACTGACGTGCACATTCTCCAAGTGGTTTTCGTAGAGCTTCACAATTTGGACATCTGGAATCATATATCACCAAGATAGCTTTAGAATATTCTGCTACAAATGTCTCCCAAGAGGTTTCTATGTGAAAATGAATTGTGTTTTAACTCCCAAATTGCAAAATACATGAAAGTGAAGTAATTTAAATTGTATTAAAGAGGATTTATATTTAATATGGCGCAGTAGCCATTCAACAGATATCAAAAGACCTTATTTTGTCAGCTCCGGATCAACAATTGTATTTGTTGACTACTACCGGGTATATATGCTGAAAAGTAAATCAATTTATATAAACAACAAAAAATATTTATCTAATATTTGCTGGTTATACCTGTTAGCTTATGAAGTAAATCAGAACCAGGAATATTATCCCAGAAATCTGGCGAGTCATACTCATCTTCATCAACTATATCAGAATTTTGCAGAACATCCTCAATGAAATTTTCAAAATCTAAAGTCTATAGAACACGATAGAAAAAAGACTAGAGAATCAATCTAATAAAAAAGTTTTTTCAGCAATTACACGATGGACACAATGTCAGACAACGCGCATCAGCTTCCACAGCATGGCTACTGCTTTGGTCTCTGGTTTTTAACAGAAAGAAGTAGTTATATACAAAGCTCCTCAACATTCAAAACTTGAAATCGACAATAAAATTTGAACACACCACTTAGAATTCAATTGTAAGAAAAGTCTTTCTGGCTGTTGATGTTTGTATTTTATCTTAACATGAATCAGATCCAGCATTTTCAAAACAATCCTACATCTAGAACAGTCATTTCTTAATTTAGTAGGTATACATCTCTTCTCTTCATGAAAGCGATATTTATTGTCAAAACTGATATACCGAAATAGTATATATTGAAGATATGAATAGATAAGTGAAGACTAAAATACAGCAAACTTAAATGCATTTCCTGCAAAAGTCACCTATAAATAATAACAATAGACTGTTTAGCATCACTACCACTTCATTTATTGAAACTTGGAATTGTTCGGAGGACGTGAAAAAAGTACTGCAAAAACATAAATTTAGTAACAAACTGTAAATTTTGACATAATTTTGCAAAATATAATGATAAGACTCGTAGGTAGATTGTGTAAGCATAAATAAGCTAAATCATGAATCACTGGTGAATTTACTGAAATGTCAGTGTTTCCCAAATAATTTTTGATGTGATGATTTCAAAACATACCGTAATTTAAATTCTGGAACATAGCAAAATGAAAAAATTTGGCAAGGATCAAATGTACAATACTTACGATGAATATATTATTTTGATGCATTCCATACATCTTACCTCTCACCGAGAAATAAAGTTCGAAAAAATTTTGTAATTAAGGATATCGAACAAATATTTTAGATGTTTTTTTCGTAAAATATTAACTTTGATTGTGAAATCAAGATGTTTCAATTGTGGAAAAAAAATTTAACATTTCTGCAAAACGAATATTTAGATATATTCAGAATTGAAAGTTGTGAGACATAATGCTTTAATACCAAACTATTTGGATATAATCAGCTATTTCTGAAGTCTAAAAATCAGGTAATTTGCTTATAGGATATCTTAACCACTGGAAAACATATATAATATATTTCAAAACCTTTTTTAGGAAAAATCTTTCCTGAAAATTACCACCACACAAACAATAGCAAACCAACCAGCTTCATAGCAATGGAGAGAATAGAAAACAACATGTTATAACAATGCTTCATTATAGAATGAAGAATAAAATTTGGCAAACAATTTAACATTGTCATTTCACATAACAGGCAATATATGAGATATATTATTCTAACACATAATTAATTGTACCACTAAAAGCAAAATACTATTTACTATGGAACATGATCTTAAATCAGGCACTACTCAAAGATAAACACATGAAAATTTTTTCTTTAATCTTAGCCAGGGGTGGAGCATCAGAAAAATGTGAAAATACAGCAAATCTTAAGGAGATAATGTTAAGATTAACAAACCATAAGGCACTTGCATCGGGTTACAAGGCGCAATGGTTTTTAAAGCAATGCCGGTATTGGTTTTCAGTGTAGGCGATAAAGCACTACTTGATCCATGAATTAATTAGGTGCATTGAATTATAGGAATGCACCGATTTTTGACAAAAAAAAGGATTTAAAGTGCACCTCATGGTCCAGAAAATCCAGAATATTAGCCAAGGGTGGTATATATCAAACGAAATAAGGTCATTATCACTTACGTTTCAAATATGCGAATTACATTTAACATAACAGCAAAATTTTGCACAATGCAGATAAGTTAAGCATTTGCAGTACGTAATAATACAGATAAAGCATGAATTTTGAAAAATAAAGTTCATGCTGTATTAATATATAAACACATAAAGCAAGCATATAACGAAAGTTAGCACCACATAACATCAATAACTAAAAAGCAAGATATGGGGACACAAAACCAGAAAATTCCAACACGAAAAAAAAAGATTCATTTAAGCTTTTGCACCTTAAAGTTTGGCTATTTTGAACAATGTTAGAATTTTATTGATAGAAAGATAGTAAATGCAATAAGACATAATTTCATATTTCCTAATGGTAACGTAATATCAAAGTACTGGAAGCTTCAAAACTAGGATCGTTATGCTTCGTGTAATTTAAACTAATAATGCTCTTTCATGAAAACATTCATCAGCAACATGATAACACGCATTAAAGTTCAGATTTTTGGACCCCAGTCTTTTCTTGTATGAATTCAGTGAACGCTGCCTCCTAAACAGAAGGGACAAAGTATTACAATATGGCGAGGATTTGATTTATTCATCTCAAATTTTGTTTCCAATCTTTGAAGCATTCAATATTTTTTTATCCTTTTTTTGTGTGTATATAAATTGGAACAAACACAAACTTTTTGAATGTTCTATCTCAATTTTTTATGTTTTTATTTTCAAATCAAAAAGCAGTTAATCCTATTTGTTACCGAAACATAGTCACCTATCACAAGTCATCCCCCAAAGAGAAAGAGGAATTTTCTGTCTTTGACAAGAAAATTTCACTTAGTATTATTGTTTTTACGCAACCAGTTTAAATAATTTGAACTATACCAAAGCCAGAATGTGAGTGTATATCGCTATCTAATTGTCCAATGAAAATTGAACAACAAACAGACACAGTTTTTACCTTTGGCAAGGGAGGATTAAAGAGTTTTCTAAAATTGGGAAAGTCAGAGATATACCAAAAAGGTTTGGAACCACAGGCCTAACACTTATTAAACAGGTTTATAAGAGAAAGCATCAAAGAAACTTAAATGCTTACTCCTGATTATGCTTTACTAATAGCTAATTCTATAATTATGAAATCAAAACATTTTTTCATTTGATTTCGATTATTTTAGAGACATTGAGAGACTAAAATTCGATCTACAATTGTTTGATTCTTACCTCTCTACCACCTTGGTATTTGGTCTCCGATTTTCCATAAGACAAGTAATAAAATGTGGGATATCCTTGCACTGAGTATTGCTCACAAGTTTTTTTATGCTTCGTGCAATCAACAGCAGCGAACATCACCTAGAAAACAAAGCAAGTTTGTCACTGGAAGATCAATAGGTAACAAACATGGTCAAATTGCAGCTAGGTACTTGGAAATTATATAGAATACAAAGTTTTGAGGGCCAGTAAGGATTTTAATGGCTGATACAGTTATAAGGAATAGATAGCATTGGATGTAGTAGTAAGGCACTCTCGAGATGTCAGAAAATAACGAATTACCGATATTGCAAGTATTATTGCACAAAAGCCAATACAAACCCAAGATATAGAGCTGGGGTTTTGAAACCCCAGATGGGTTGCAAAAGGGCTCACTGGGGGTTGCGGGAAAAAAATTTTTGACACAAACTTCTATAAAAACAAAATATCAATCAATCAACCTTGAAAGCAGTACTAAGACCCACCATCCCCCGAATAGAGGCAAGATTCAATTTTTTGTGTGAGAATATGCAAGCACATTGGCCTCATTAATGGCATTGTCAATTTTAATATTATTTCAAATATTTTCCTTATTTTTGAAATTTAAATACTTTTGCTTTAGTTCCAGAGGGTCGAGACAAATTTGGCCATGCCTAGTGGGTTGTGACCAAAAAAGTTTGAAGAACATTGGTATGGAAAATACTGCAAACTAATGACTATTTTCTCCAATCCATATTGATTTGAAATATTCCTTATTGGCATATACTAACATACCAAAAATTGCAACAAATAATATTCTAATACCAAATTCACAGCAGTTTCAATCATTTTGGTTATAAGTTGAAAGTCTTAAATGACCGGATAAATTATGAAAGAACCTATACCTTTTTATCATCAGCAAAAGTTGCTGCTGCATTTGTGTATTCAGGTTTGGCTTTTTTGCAATGACCACACCCTGAAATGATGCAAGATATTAGTTACGAGAAATCACCAAAAATCAATGCCTAAAAAAACCTATAAATAGGAAAAATTCTGAGCGATTCCGGAGTCTCGCTGCACACTAACACAAATGTATTTCTGTAACGTTCCGTCTGACTTACTCGGTCATACATTATGCAAGCGATTGCACGCATATTTAAACAATGAGTGATACACCCATTCACTTTTCTTGTTGTAGTTGTTGTATGTATGTTTAAAGAAGTCCAACTTTGATCAGACCAAATGTTACAGAAATATATTTGTGTTAGTGTGCAGAGAGACTCTTGAATCACTTAGGATAGTTATCCTCACTCTTGCAATATATGGATATGTTTCAACCTGCGCAAAAACACTGGAGAATAAGAAAACCAACTAAATGGAACAAGGAAAATATTTGCTTACATGGTGCATAGAACATAATTAGGGAATGCTTCTTTTTCTTTGTTGCAGATTTAAAATCTTCATCGGTTAAATGTTGAACGTCACTTTCAGTCTCATGCCATTCTTTCTCTGGTGGAGGAGGCTCTTTAGGACTAAATAAATAAAATGCATATCCAACAACAAGAAACTTACAAAAAGATCCCCTAATTTTGAGATCAACTATGTTGACAATGCAGGTGACAGGTGCACACTCCATACCCATCACCTATCCAAGAACTTATAAATTGAATAGACAATGCAAAACCAATAGGATTTTTAATCCTTGAAAAATGATAGCTCATCACATATTAATGCCTGCTTAAGCAGGGGATTGATTGGAGAGAAGGAACATCATGCAAAAAAAAATTTTTCCTTTCCATGAGTATAATTTATTTTCAGACATCCAGCATCTTCGCTTTATATTTCTTTATATTATGTAAATCGACAAAATAGTTCATAAGTATAACATACTCTTTAATATATTGCACGATTCCTTCTGGTGTCCTTGTAAAAGCACCTGATGCATCATATTTCTCTTCACCATTTTCAAAGTAGATTACCGTGGGATAGCCTTTCACCTGTAGGCATTAACATATATTGATAAAACTGGTGTGGCATGTAAACAAACTAATTGCCCATACAGAAAGAAAAATGCTTCGATCAGAACTACATTTATTTTAACACAATGAGCAATGCTGCACTCGATAATAACAGTTCTCAAATAAAATAATCATTTCCTGATCCTTTGAACTAGATCAGAGAATTAGAATCTTGGGCATTGCGCTTGATGATCATTTTGATTACATGCGGCCTTCTCTCTGCGGTAAAGTTGTGTGTGCAATTATTTTGTATGTTTTTGTTATTTATTTTACTGGCTGGACTAAAAAAAAAGGATGACAGGAAATAGCATGTATGAGAGAGCTTTTTGCATTGAATTAATTTAATAGATTGACAGAAAAATCTCCACTGACGGAACGAACACCTACTTGAAAATAGAGAGAATTATTGATGCGACGCCCAAAGCAGTTCAATTCTACTGGAGGAGTATATATTACATGGTTAAGCATAGATAGCAAGTATTCATTAGAACCTGAGACCATATCAACAAAATACAAAAAATACACGTACCTTGTATTTACTTGCTAAATCATTGAATTTAGTTGCATCAACAGCTGTCAATTTTTCAGGTGCTTCTTCTTTAGCAAGTGTTTCTGCTGCTTTGTCCCAGTGAGGTTTCAAAGTCTTGCAATGGCCACACCCTGGAAAATGACATATAATGGTCATGCGAATACAAGTGTGAATGCTGGAAGCTTTAATAAAAGTCTAAATTAGGAACGTGTTATAAAAAGAATGATCTTTGAAAATAATTTTTATTGTAGAATGTACATATAATGTAATTAATCTGGCAAGCTCCTACGCTGAGAATTATTTTAAGAAAAGAAAATAAGTGCACATGAATTGATTCTGAAAAATTGATGAAATATGACCATACAAATTTGTTCCTTGCCAAATAGGGCTATTTTTATATGCTTTTCATTTCTTTCACCCTGAATAAAGCCCTGTAGAAAGTACTTAGGGCTAATATTAAAAAAAAAAATCGCTCAAATCAAGGTCACACACACTCACTCAGAAATTAAGAAGTTTGATCTCAGAGAGAAGTTACTGGCGAAATCAAATGCAGAGAGCTACTGGAATGACTAGAGTTACAGCAAAACAGTTATAAAGTCGGATGACTCTTTGAAACAATCTATCTGCACACTGAGAAAGGTGTTGGACATTTGAATCAAATCCAAGATTGAAAATATGTGACGACACAAGTCTAAAGCTTTAAGCACCAAGCTTTCGCTCCCCTGTTTTGGTAGAAGCTTTTAATCAAAATAACAAAGCTAAATTGAATGAAACACGTGAAGAAAACTAATATAACTTACATGGTGCATAGAAAAAAACCATTACTTTACTGTTTGCAGCAATAAATTCATCAAATGTTGTATCAGTAAGATGAACAACATCATTCTCGGTTTCATCCCATCCTTTCTCTGGTTCCTTTTCTTTTTGTGGTTGTGGACTATGTATAATTAAGTTAAAAATAAAATAAAAATTACGATTCAAATATGCCTACAAAAAAATACCACAAAAAATTTAACCCGAAAAAAAAGAACTCCATTGTGATTCAAATTACTTCAAATGAAGTTCTTGGCCAGTACAACAAGGAAAAATTGAAGTAAAGATTCAAAGCCGCTTCAACTGGCAGACTTGTTCTACCAAAAATGGTTATTAATCAGCATATTTTATTAGAACCGTCGGTACACCCGTAGTATGTGTACCAGGCTGGGGTTGGACCATGATTTTATTCCGATTTTCCTTATTTTAGTTCTATTACGAGTTCGGGGACTGTCTGTGTTAGCCAAGTGAATACACCCACTGCCCATAGTAATCAGTCCCTGTACACAACTTGATGTAAAGTAGGCAAACAAAATTAGTTACCTCCATATTGGTACACATACGCGCCAAAGCACGGCAGTCAGATGAATAAAATAAAAAATGGATAGACCCTTCACTACATTAAACTAGTGAGCTTTTTTCAGCAGACTTGAATAAAGAAGAATATGGTCAAGTCTTATATTTCAGAGGCTGCTTGACAAAAATTATATTGAAAATGATAACTTCAAGAAATCGATTAATGAGAAATAACTAATTGATGTCAAATTCAACCTTGCTTCCGAAACAGACTTCAGTACATATACCGTAATGCAAATTTTAACAACTCGTAACTCGATGCCAGAATCCTCAATTCAATGATAGTAGTTCTTACAGTGCCAGAGCAAGAAATATTAATTAATATTCATCTTACTCTGCAAGCCATTCAACGATATCTGATTTCTGATGTCCTCCAGAATAATCAAACTTCTGTTTGCCATTTCTGAAAATAGTATTCGAAACATACAAGTATTAGACATAGATAGGGATAAAACAAAAAGAATAAGCCATTTCAAATAATAGTATAGTAACACAGGTTGCACCTAGGAATCTCTATCTCACTAATAATAATTTATATTTTGTTGGATGGATAAAAAAGTAAAATAATGATGACTAACTCAAAGTAGATAGTCTTCGGAAAACCGGTAACATTGAAGGTTTGACGAAGAGAAGATGCTTCAGGACTATCAGCATCAACTCCGGCAAAAATCTGAAACAGAAGGATAAGTGAATGCATTATAGTGTGGTCCATTCATCTAACAGCCGTTAAGGGGAAATTTTATCGTATATAGTAGACTAGTAGTAGTAATCTATACATATATTACATAGTCGATTTTGAAAGTTGACAGAAATATACACAAATATAAAACATAGAACAAGTGAAGTTGGGGATTTCTGAAGAAAACGTATCAATCACTCGAAGGGTAACAATTTTTAAAAACTTTTGAATATACACCATATATAAAATATAGAACAAGCTGAGTTACAGCTTTTAAAGGAACTTGTGACCCTCGAATCAATGAAAAGGGTAACAATTGGAATTGCTATTAGTTTTAATTCCCAATATAACTGTTAGGTCGTTTTGCTGATTTCAACATCATTAATTATTCAAGAAATTGAACACATTTTGATAAAATGTGTGAGATTCTGACAAGTACCATAAATAACACTGCAAAAAAGACTTGTTAATTTGATTTTGAATTCATGTTTTTGAAATAACACAGGTCTTCGGTCAGAATATACCTATGGGTGCTTAATCTATGAAAATATTCAGGTATATAAAATTTAATTTGAATTCGTCAATTCGGTTGAAAATCTGTTGCATATAACAATGTTAAATTAATAGCAAAAAGGGAATAAATAATTAGTTTTTAAATCAATTAACAAACTGATGAGCTGGAAAGCATATAATACACTATAATGGTAATTCACTCTGTGCTCTCTATGAAGACTAGTCTAAAAACGAATTAATCGAGAACAAATTCACTTACAACTTTGTTCTTCATATCAGTTGCAGCCTCTGAATATGCAGGCTTGAATCTTTTACAGAATCCACACCCTAACAAAAAATATATACAATAGAACAATAATAAGAGACTGAAAAAACAGTTAAATTTGGACGAGGAAAAATTGATACTTGCTTCAAATATTATTTGATGCAGATTTAAGTCACAATTATGCAAAAATCACGGTTAATTTGATTAAATATCAAAATTTTCAAATCAACATCAAATTCTATGAATAAAATCTATACAATTCTCTATTATGACAATAAAAACCCAAAGATATACATGCAATTGGAAATACATACATGGGGCATAGAACATGATCAAAGTAGGCTTCTTCTTTTTCAAAAGTTTGTTGACTTCGTTTTCATTATGAAGATGAACAACATCCTGAGCACTGTCTTCTTCTTCCCAAGGTCCATCGGATGTAGGATCACGAAGAAATGCTAAAATGGACTGTAAAAATATATATGCAGTGTGAGAGAATTTACTTGTCAATTGTGTGAAATGACTCAAAACCTGCATAAACAGAACAAACAATTTTGGTATCACCGTTAAGAATCTCAACCACACTTGTGTAATAAATTGTGTAATAATGAACTGAAAGATACCAGTCCATAATCTTGTACATTCTCATATATCAGAGGATGTTTGTTTGTACAGAGCCTTGTTCTGAGTGAAATGCATATGAAGCATTGTATAAAATAGGAAATCTATATGTCTGAAAATAATGAGAAAAAAATCAAAAAATAAAATTCATATTTATTGGGCTTTGAGGAATTTTTAAAAGTGAAATATTTTAGATAAATCAATCTCTATTGTAAGTATCATTATTGTTACTGGTATTTATTAACTCAATCAATATTGAACATATTCATTGACAATTGGAATCCATTAGATCCTGAGATGTGCATTACAGTAATATGAACAATAGTGTGAAAAATCATCAGTTTCCTCTCGGCTTTTGTTGCTATTCACATGCTATGCAGAATATTACATCTGATAGGAATATTGCTTATATCCTGATAGAATTAGCATTTGGTTACATGAAGTCAGAAGTAATTTGAAAGTGATTTTGATTTTCAATATATAAAATACAACTAATTTATTTTATACTTGTATTAAGGAAGATAAGTGCACACAGAACCTAAAAATTTATTACTTATTAGGAGACAGGAATGGATTACCCTTAATGAATAAAACATTCAGAAGCGTTATTAAAAACAGAAACAAAAGTTACCAAATGGCCCTCTAATACGTAATTCTCCAACCAGCAAATAGGCTTTTAGCTGTTGCAAACACAGAGACAAGCTCTCACCTTGACTGAAAATTTTCGATCATAGTCAGCACTGTATTCACCATCTTTATAGTGTTGGATTACAGTAGGATCCGGCTTCGCCTTTTGTTTCTTGCAGAGCTAATGAAAATTCAAGGAAATGTTAGGAATATTTTTAGCAAAGAATCAAGAATTTTTGATGTAATGTTACTATTTCGGACCTCCAGAAGTATGCGCACCAAGATGGCGCACAACCTGAACATAGTATGTCTGTATCGGCTAGGATTCAGGCTGTGCGACATCTTGGTGCGCATATTTCTGGAGCCCCCTGAGATAAATATGAAGCATGTAACATAGTTGCATTGTTAAGGATAAAAATCAAATAACAGAGAGTCAACTCTTATGAAATAATATTGGTTGCCCCAGTTTCATAAAAGGGTTTCAAGTATTTGTGAATGATTTAAAAATGGCAGCAGTCAACAATAATTCTGTTATTCAAGAGTCCTTCATATAAAATCGATGGATGAATTGTTTTGAAAGTCTGCCAGATGTTTGAGACAAGCATTTTCTAGTATTACATGTGGTGAAGTAATTTAATGACTATTGATTATTCTGTCAGTGAGGTACCATGACAAATTTACGGTAACATTAAATCACTAACATCAGGATATAGAACTGAAAACATTCTGTGTTACATAGATCGCACAGAAAAATTTCTGACAAAAAGTGCTGATCCCAATACTGTTACAATTTCTTGTCATGATCGTTTATATTGATCTTAATTTCAAAATAGCTATACATAGAAAAATTAAATATAGCTTTTCATTGAGAATGGACTAAATCAAATAATTTACTATTTTGAATACATTTAAGCAAAACGAGAGGATTTGAACCCCTAAGTGCTTGAAAAACCTTGTTTTTCAAAAATTGAGGCAAATGCATACTCGTTTTATTTCAATAATTATATAATTGTTTATTGAAATACTTGGTTGAATATTGCTACATTAGATAGCAGCTTAAAAGAACTATTTCTCAGTAATAAATAAAAAAAAAAAGCTTTTTTTCTAAATTTCAATTTTCAATGTAAAATTTTGTTTTGAAAATATATATTATAGCATATTAAATATATCCCAAATTTAAACAAATCTGTGTAAATTGTAGATATTAATTTAGTAGTGCAGAAATATTAAGATAAATATTGTCCTGATAATTTCCACTTTTTAATGTATAACCAAAGAATAATATTCAATTCGTTTTGAAGATCTCTGCAATACCTTCTTGCCCTCTTTGGTGCTGCAATCAACTTCAATTAATGTAGCTGTTCCTTTGGACGCAATTGCTGCTTCGCCAAAGACATCCATTACTGAATTTGCAGCAGAACCTAGAACATCAGCATAAATATCATAAATATTGGCTTGTAGAATTATTAACAAGAATTGAACTAAATTGATAGATATTTTAATATAATATGAAGCAATTGCTCATAAGAGCTTATAACAGGGTGACCCAAAAAAATCAGAAATCATGTCATTTAAAACATATTCCGACATCCTAGAAGGAACGTAATTTCTGTGAAAAGCGTCCTAGATTACTGTAACATTTGGGTAAAATCATAATATACAAACAAGAATTAAAGTGTTATTAAAGTTTTTTATTCATTTTCCTAGCAGCGTAATAATTAAGAAATTTATGGGTTCTTTTTTGTAGAAACATTGTAGAAATGCAACAGATTTATACTCAATTCAGTAGTTAGACTTAAAAGTAGGCCTACTTGTATATATTTGCACAATCCTAAATATACAAGATACTAATTTGAGTGAAAAATAAAACAGATGAACACAATTATGCATGGCAAACTTTCATGACGAAAAAACAGCAAAAAACTTACCAGACGAAGAAAACAACACCAAAACGTTTATTCTTGTTCTTAGTATTTTCTTAAAATCTTTAATATTGTCAACTTTTTGAACATGTTTAGAATAGTCTGTCTTCTTCTTTCCATCACAAAGAGTTGCAAACAGCATCTAGAAATATAAATAATACAGTGCATTTGAATGATGCAAAACCTAGCTTTGTACTATCCACAGATCCAACACGCAGCCATATTTAGATGTCAATACTGCAATATGCAAAACTTTGGTCCTTAAATAACATTGAACCAGACAAACATATCAATATATTTATTGCTGTAAATGCAAATTTCAACACTACATTCTGACATTATTGAAGAAAGTGCACTCTCAAAGAATGGCATCTCATTAACAAAATAAAGAGATGAGCTGTAAAGGTTGCAATATTCCAGTATTCGGACATCTAAAATAACGGATGCACATATCTGAATTTTGCACCAATTCACTGCAAATGAAATAACAGAATGAGTGATATTTATCTTGTTTTAGGCGATAAATAATACTCACCACAAAAACAAAAAGCAGTGCCCATGTTACTTTGGTCATTTCAATATCTCGGTTTATTACTGAATTGCATACAGTTGTGCAGCAGCACCGTCTGGCAGTAGCAAATACCAGGAGGACTAAATATCCAAATAGATTAACTAAAATTAGATATCTGAGGAAAAGATAATAAAAGTTTCACGATAAGATATAGATAAATTCCCGATTTAAGCAGCGAAACGCAGCCCTAAAGCGCCATCGACAACGCGCAGCAAATAAAACGCTATGAAAGACGCGCTTCCACAACTATACGAAGGAACGATTCACTTCCGGGTTCAGCAGACACGTACTATTCTAGTTGCCGCCTGACGATCGAATGGATCGAGCCGTAAATCGAACATAAGTATAAGTAAGGGAAAGTGAGAAATTTTGGGACACTTTTTTTTCATTTGCACATTTTGAGTCATTCATTCTGCACATTCATTTTACCTTTCCGGACTAATGCAGAGAGGGGTGAATGTAGTTTTATTCAGTGACTAAGAAATTATTTGGCGACACACATCATACCACCAGAATGGTTTGGAAAACGTTTGTCAAGTGTCCCACTGTACCCCACTGGTGCGGCACATTTGAACAAACTCTGAGGCAATATGGGTCATTCTGTTAAATTCAACGAAGTATGTTCTTAAAAATAAGCAAAGAATCAGCATTATCATCTAAAGCAGTGGTCGGCAACCACCAGGCCGCGGCCCATCGCCGGTCCGCGGAAAGGCTACTGCCAGTCCGCAGACAGGTGACACAAAAACGGACAAGGCCGTAATAAAACCTCTACAATCTAACCACAAACCCTACGACCAGGGGTCGGAAAAACTGCAGGCTAAATGCGGCCCGCGAGCTAATTTGTTGCGGCCTTCGAACGACCCGACATTTAATACATAAAACAAAAATCGATCCCAAATTTATTATTGTCTCTACACGGATTTATGTGTTGACAAGTGCTGCTGTGCGGCGCTTCTTATGTAACAAGTAGCGTCAGTTGTATGCCGTTAAAGTTAATTTTGATTTTCAAAACGTGGAAATGTCTGGAAAACGGAGCGACGCGGGTCGAGCATTCCAAAGTGCTTGAACAGAAGAATATTTTTCTTTCTTGCGCATTCCAAAACCGGTTTGCTCGATATGCCCAGTCAGCATCGCAATTGTTAAGGGTTTCAATGTGCGACAGTGCAAAACGTGTAATGTGCACGTTCGGAAAAACATATGGCCTTGAGCTGCTTTATCTAAAATGCATTACACTTAGATTAAATTTCATACTCGCTTGTCAGATCATCATTTGTATGACAAGGTTCCATAAAAATATCATCTCTCACATTGATAATAAGTACATTAAAACAATGTATTGTTGAATAATATATCAAAACAAGAGAGCTATGGTGAAATATATGGACACGTAGCGCCGCATAATGGCAATAATTTTGATGACATAGCAAAAAAAAATTATGAAGAAAATTTTTATCGTTAACCACCGAAAATTTCAAAGCAATTAGTTCAGTAATCAAAGAGAAAAGCGACTTTAAAAACGTGTTAAAGTACAAGAACAACAACAACATAATATTGAAACGATCGCTATGTCCACTACGTGTCCAAAAACGCCACATACACATCTCACTGGAACAGGCTTTCAACACAGCAATAGAAGGGTAGCAATGCGAATGCGCCATAATTTAATTTATGTAGCGATTGTTCAAAGGCGGAAATATTGCGGCCCGCGCGCTACCGGAAATGTTTATAATTGGCCCGCAAGTACATGAAGTTTGCTGACCACTGCACAACACTATTGAGCAGCATGCCTGATTTCATAAACAATTGTCAGTATGTCCAATGGCAATGAGCATATATATGCTCATTGGTATGTCGCAATAATGCTGAGTCAGTTATTTTCTCTACGCCCGTATAAGTCTAGGAATGTCTCTCATCAGTCTGACTAAGATCTCCCCAACAAAACGATACAGGCATTGTTAACTTTCCCGAAATCTTAATGTGAGGCCTGGTTTTCAATATTGATAACTACAAAAACGAAATATCGAAATAGGCTGGATGTAAGAAACACGTTACATATGTCAATGTCGACCATATCTCGAATATGGGAACAGTTAATGGCCATCAAACAAATATAGATATCGCATTAAATAGCATCACCGTCGTTTTTAGAATAATGTCAACATAAATTTCCTAATGCGTATAATTTATTGCATAGGCTTAGTTCGTTTGTATGAAGGTGGTCCGCCAAAGGTTTGGTCAGGCTTTACCGGTCCGTCACTTAAAAAAAGGTTGCCGGCCACTATTCTAAAAAACGGAGATTTCATATTTTTGAAATCAATGTTCAATCATGATATTCAGATAATTTTCCAAATAAATCTGTAAACAAATTAAATTACTCCCATTTTCGAGTCTAAATCTCAATTATTTTTGATTATTTGAAGCATGTCCCACTGAACCCCGGTCCATTGGTCCCCATAGGAAACATATATTTTCAGACCATTTCCCGTCGAGATTAGGAAGGCACATCCACTCGCCAACGTTATGAATATTTTAGAGTGGACTGAAGCTGAAATATATCAGACGCTGGTTTGTTATGTTGGAAAGGCTAAAGTAGTAAAAAGAGAAAAATTGGAATGGTGGAATTTTAGTTTTAACCCTCCAAAACGAATTTCATCTCCTATGTTTGCGTCGCTCTTAGGGCTGGGCATTTTCGAATACCTTGTGATTTCAGAATCGAATCGAATAATTTTTTCGAATCGAATCTCGAATACTTGAAAATATATAATTGTAAGCGACTTTATTATAGTAATTGGTCCTTTCAACAAATGAATTACTGAAGACATAGAATAAATCAATAAGATAGATTACTGAGCGTTCACACAAAATAACAAGCACGTTTTATCAATAACTCACTACAGAAAATAGTCATATGTTAGAATTTCGTTGAAAAAATATGACTTCAATGAAAAAAAAATTGGGGAATTCACCTCGACCATTAGCGGAAAGATAAAAACAAGATGGCGGCGATTCGAAATTTAGCTCTGAACTGATTCGAATAATTTACTATTCGATTCGAATATTCGATTCGAAATGCCCAGCCCTAGTCGCTCTACACCAGACCTGCCCAACCATTATCGTCTCGCGGGCCACTTTCACGTGACAAAATTCGTTGCGGGCCGCAAACGTTTCTACCAAATATTAATACCAGCGAAGTCCTGATCTCCTGAGCAGGGCTGGCAAATTATTCGAATATTAAGTCGAATATTAGAATAGCAGTTTACTATTCGAATATCCGGTAACGCGCGCTTGGACATGACACTCGTGGGCCGCCGGATCAAAGAATCATTCATTAGATTCATTATACAACACACTTGCGGTTTTTTGACGAACATACACATCACGTCAAAATTGAGTGTTACATTTGGGTTATAGTGTTTTAAGTTTTTATTCATTAATTTTTAGTAGCTATGATACTGCCTCAATGTTTAAATGAGCATAAAGTGCGCCAATGTCGCGGTAATATCAAGTTTAGGTGGGCTGTTTTGTAAAATTTGATACACTAGTACAAGTATTTAATGAAGTGACATTACGAATAAGATTTCTGGACGAATATATATACTGATTTGTGACTAATATGTAGCAATGTGATTAAGTCAATTTCATCAGAATTATTGACGGATACGACATTAGTGACGACATTTCCAAAATCTTATTTAACGCAAACATAACATAAACTAAAATACAAACAAAAAAGGACAACGAGTCCCGGAACCAGTACCAAAGATATTATTACATGTCCGCTGAAATCGGTCTAGCAGACCACATATTCACGCTTCAGTGGTTCGTCTGCGATTCAAATCCGTGCTATCGGTCCAGAACATCAGACCTCCTATTTAGGAGGTCTGCAAGTGAGATAACCGGTCTTGCTCAGTTGCTTCGCCGTGCTACTCGAGAAATCGTGAATCACCGTGATCGAAGGAGGTACGGCAGTTGTTTTCTTTTTGATCTCTGGTAAGTGAGTTGCTTTTTTAAACTAATAAAAATTCAGCTAGTTGGGTCAAGTTTAATTTAAACATTTTCCGCATCTATTGTGTCGCTGCTGAACACAAATTTGAAATACCGGTACTGGTGGGATCCCGGCATATTGGCATGATAGGTTGTTGTTTTGAAACAGAGAATTGAATCTTGATGTCTAAAGATTTATTGGTATAAACTGAGCGCAGTACGACTTCAGTTTGCATTGAGAATTTATTTGAAATTGCACTATACAACCATACCGCATCCTAGCTGGTACTGGTACGCTTACTGTACACACCGGTACCAGTCAATCAATCAAGTTTATTTTTTTCCAACCAGTAAAAAATAAATAAATAAACCAGCATAATAAATACCAGCATAATAAAGTTGCAGTAGTAGGGCGATATTAACCCTGCTAAAACGCTTAAATAATGAAAGTGCTTCTGTTTACATATGATGAGCCCACTTCACACAAGTGTTTGGTTGATAAAATGTAATTGTTTTAATTTGGTTGCCAGTCTACTGTAGGCCTACTGTGATTTTTGAATGGATCGTGTGGCGTAAGGTGCCAGTAGTCTGCAGCGTTGAACGCTGGATGGTCGGCCAAAATGATCTAAAATTTCTAGATTCTAAATCGTCTATCTTTTATGCCCCCAATAAATTTATCGTTTTGTTCTTAGATCGTGGGCAAATTTCAACGGGAAAGCGACCCCTCCCTCATCATATTCTGCAAATAACTTCAAAGAATTTCAACAACGTGCATTTAATTTTGATGCTTTCATTAACATTTGTATTGAATTTATGAATTTATTGAAAATAAAATATATGCAGTGTTTGCAAATCATGACTTATTTGATTTAATCGGGCAACTCCAAAGCTGTTGGTTTGGACATGTAATCGAGGCCACTAAGTAGTCTCCGAGACCACTTTGACCGAACCGGTTCGCTGGAAAAAAACTGACTTCGATGTCCAACCGCGTACAAGACTTGGCACATACGTAATAATATGAATCGGCATTTCAATGTAGATAGATGGCAGAAATAATTACACCAAAATCATGAAACACACCTAAGCTTATATATTGATATATAACAGAGTAAAAATTTAAAAAGTCTGCTTACAAACTTTATTGAGCGGG